CTTAATCCGGGAGCGTTTTGGACAGGTTGCCATAAGGGCCCAGGATGCTCTAGCACATTGTAATGCGCTTTAGCATGCTCAACATGCTCAATGTATGCTGGTCTTGGCCACAACAAGTCATGAACTTTGGCCATGGCACGTGGCGTCTGACGATTGCGCGCCCGATGGCTCCGACGATTCCGAGCATGAGTCCATCCTCGAGAGAGCTTGCTGTGACCCACAGCCATCCGCTTTCGTTTTGGATCGACTCGTTCAAACTCGCTCGTGGGTACAAAAGACAAGACAACAGGGCAGCCCTAAAGCACTGAAAATCACAAAAAATCAATGTACACCTTCTTGACAACACATAAGCTTGGGATAGCCTGGGCTTGCCACATGCATGTGGACCCCACCTCCGCCACGCTGCTCTAGGTGCTGCTCTGACAGCTCCCCATACTCTTCAGCGCCCTCGCGGGCGCCCTGCGAGTGATGCGAGTGACAAGCTACGGGCGTCAACAAATCATCCTTGATAGTGGATACAGCAATTCAATTTACCGGGTGTTGCATCTTCAATTGCAGCACCCGGTAGTTGAAATTGCTGTAGAAAGTCTAGCTGCTTCTTGTCAGCACGGTATACCGAAGACAGGCTTACATGAAAGTTTTTGTAAAGAGGGTATCCCTTGTCTTTCAGCTCCACGACTTGCTTTACTGTGTCAGGTGCGTTCGGCACCGATTCTGCCACAACAAAACCTGATTGAGCATGTGTGAGGTACTGCCTGCACAAGCAGCGTGAGGCCCAAGAAAGCCAGGTACGGCAGGGCGCCCCCCCTGACATGCCGCGCACTGCAATGCACTGCTTGTGGCTGCCCAAAATGACTAAGCCAGCGGCCGCATTGAATACTCACTGCATGTGGAAGACAACAAGTTTGCTTGAAGCAAACGGCTGCGCATACATCGGGGAGCAGGTTGGTCACACGTACGCCTACCAGACACAACAGAAAGCCCCTGCCGAGCATGATCAACAGTAAGAAAGTGCTGCTTCCCATGAATCAACATGCTCGTTTGGAGGGTGCCATCATCGTACTAAAGCTGCGCGAAGGGCAACCCTTTGTGTTCAAGTGTTTGGCCGCATCACGGCAACTCATATCGAGTGCGCTCTTCCATGAATCATTGGTAACACAGAGCAGTTTCATGGTCTTGTGGGGGTCTTGCAGCTGGGCACACACAACGAATGACAATAGACAATAGTCATTTTCATTAACGAGGAATGCAGGAAGAGCAATTGAACGGACTTCCCCTGTTGACTTTACATGAACGCTACACGCAGGCTTCTGGGCTAGGTGCTGGGTGAACAAACAGCGGCAGCTTCAGGATCTTGCCTCGGTCATGCCAACTCGGTGCAATAAACTTTTCTGTGCTTGCTGTGTCCTGTCTAGGCCTGGGATTGCAGCTTTGACAGCTGCAAGAAGTGTAGAGGCGTTAGAGATCGCAAAAGAAGGCTTGGCGAGCTCTGCTTGCACCACCGACGGTGCTGGAAGAGTTGAACGGTTTGCCTCCTAACATCCACTAACCACAGCCAAATCAAATGGGATGAGAAAGATTTGCAATCAACTGAAATACGCAAATGGCAGCGCACGTGTCAATCCCTATGAATTCCTTATGTGCACTAGTGTCACTTAGCCATGCCGAGCCACTTCCTGCAAAGATGTTGGCTTAGTCCTTTTCCTTGCGCTGCGGCGCTTCACTGCGCTTTGAGCGCTTCAGTGGGCGCTTACCGGGCCTGTCAGGCTTACCATGGTGGAAAGACACTACCCCGCCAGCTGTGCCACGGATGGCTTTGCTCCCGAACAAACGGGAAGGCGTGGCCGTCCCCCTCCTCCCTCTCCGGTACCCCCGTCGCGGCATCCTGTGAGCCCGGTCACCCTGTGGCCATTCCTTCGTGATGAGCGCGAACCCATGTCCCACCAACATCCATCCACACATCGGTCACGCAGGATCGCCACGTGATGCAGCATCTGCATGCTCCATGGTCCGAGTGGTGACAGGCACATTGTTCACATGTTCCTGGCCAAGCGTTCCACATGTGCTGAAAGAAGTCCTTGTCGCTGCAAATGGAGACGAGCTTCCTCACACTGCGCCCACTTTGCACAGCACAATCACGGCACCAAACTACAAAGGGCATTCCATGTCTGACAGGTCTCTTGATCCAGATGCGCATAGCCCTGAATTCTGGCACCGCCATGGGCGCAAACAAAAGGACTGGTCATGGCCCACTCCGTTGTGCAGTAGTGGAAGCCGAGTTCCTCTCCTGTTGCATTAAATTTTCTTGAAATCATTTTTACTGTCGCTTTCCAGCTTTCTTGACACGAAGGGCACAATGTCTGGGCTCCTGCAAGGATGTCGCGCCTGGCACCTTAGCAGGAGTGGACAAAGACAGACAGAGGTCGCCCGATCCAGCAAAACCAGTTCTTCTATTCGCAGATTCCTCCATCAGTCTTCGGGGTGGGCTCACAAATTTTGCCTACACTTGTCTAGAACAAGAACCCAACTAGAAGTCAACTTGCACGCTTGTCTCCGTGCCCTCCTTTTGTCTGCCGGAAACTTTTCCTGTCAGATCTCCCTGGCCTTTCCGGGGCCTCTTCCCAGATTGCAACCCCCAACCCATCCTTCATCAGAAACAACATCCATTATAGCTGGCCCGAGCTCGAAGTCGTAGTTCAAGTAGGAAAACCCGACTTGTGACTTGTGCAGCAGGAGCACGGAAAATCAGGCAGTCCGTGATGGTGGCGACCAGATTCGGATCCTCCAAATGGCTCAAATATCTTGCTGCTCCACCCTTCTCGTCTGGCACCTTCCTGAGACAAAAGGAAGGCAAAAACACGAACTTTCACAGGACAAAACCTGAATGACTTCAGCGACCTGCACGTGTGTGAGGCGACCAAGTTGCAGTAAATTCACGTGTTCGTTCTCGCTAACCTGGAGAGACAATGAGTACTGCAACATCTTGCAAACATGGCGATGCATGACGCATGTGTGCACAGACCAAGGCTAGCAGCAGTTACAGCTGTCAGCAGTTTCAGAACACTTGATTAACAGGACAGCGGCGCCAAGCCTGCACGCTGTACATGGTGGGCTGCGCGACCAATCTGTCATCTACATGGAGGTCAATCTTGAAAACGCTCTCCAACCTAGCGTTGGCGGGCAACATGTATCTGAAGAAGTCTGGCAGAACCGGGAACCAGTAATAGAGTAGCATGGCAGCCTGGGAATGTTGTCGCGCGCTACGAGGAGCGCGCCCACGTGCGGATTGGACAACTTTTGCAGCTTGTCGCTGCTGAAACCAGTGTCCACAGCCTCGTAGCACGAAGTCACTAGGATTCCACAGAAGAATGCACACAAATTGCCTGCAAAAAAACAAATTGTCTGACATACTTGGGGAAAGCAGTGGACCACGTTGACTGCGAATCACATCACAAAGGCTTGAGCTGACTTGGACAAGCAGATCAAGCAGTCATGTTCCATACTGCAGACTCAGGCGGCAGTTGCGAGGCGTCTGAGCCCAATCCGAAGCATGGCCAAGTATGTGTGCTGAAACTGATGGCAAGAGAAAGGTTTGTAAACTGGACTAAACTGGGTTGTCATGCTAGTCTGTGCGGAGAAACGCGTGCAGTAACTAGCTTCTCCAGCGTTCGGCAACAGCATCGTCGTTCACGCACGGTCGCAGTATTTTGACATGATTGCGCATGCAGGCAAATGGTTGCTTCAAGCTGCTATTTCATACTTCTGCTAGCCAGATGAGGCGCAGCATCTAGTTTATGGCTTCCGGCAGGCCGTTGGGATTCTCATGCAGCAGATGTGGCACCATGACAAGAAGAAAGACTGGCCATTTGTGAAGCCTCACAGTTCTTGACACCGAGCGCACTTTTTGCTGCCGAGCCATCATGTTCAGTTGCAGTCAGGGAAACCGGAAACGATTGGGTTTGTACAGGTGCCTCTTTTGAGCCACTACTTTTTTCATTGAGGCCGGACCTTGCCACAGAGTCACATGGCGATACTATGGCGATTCAAGATCTGACATCAGACAGCTTACGCCGGCTTAGGATTCAGGGGATCAGGTCGTGAAAGACAAATCGCAAATTTTGTGAATGTCAAGCTATGTCAAGCTGTAGTCCGAGGCTGAGCTGGGGCTGCAGCTCACTGTGCAGCACTTTGGGCGGTGGGTTCCTGAAGGACTGAGAAAAGTGCGCTACGACACTCAATCTTGTCGGATTCACAGTCTCCTCGCTTTCGCCAGCTGCGCTTGCTTCTTCTGTCAAGTTGTGGGCCACGGCCGAGGGAACTTGGCGAAAGCGACACCCAGCACTACCAGCTCTAGACCCTCAAAAGGTAACAAAGCTTGACAGCTGGTGCAGAACCATGCAGAACCGTGGTCGTGGAGATTCTTTCAGGTCTGCGTGCAATGCGCGCAGCAGCTACACGCAGTGCAAACCCCTCCTACTTGTAAGACAGTGGCCAGTGACTTCTCCTGCGGCGGACAGGCGTCAACAGCAAAATCGACAAAGATCGACAAAGCCTACCATCGGAGGCCAAACGACATGGGCACGAGGCACAACGCGCATGCGCACTGACTTCAGATAAATTCAGTGTGAGAGAAGCAATGCAAAAAAAACAGCTCAGGCATCTCCGCTTGATTAAACTTTCTCTTCAGTTCAGACAGCGGAAGCATCTTCTACGGCATAACCCCTTTGCCTCCACTGTCCTCTTTCAAGCTAACAACCTCGCGGACTCAAAGGGCAGCTTTCATGATCTCATTTTAGGATTCATTGGAACAACCTCGACAGGGCGACCAAGTATGCTGACACTCCACATTCTATGCACAAGCGCAGAACACCAGCTCAAGATAAGCTGCTTTGGCAGGATCCACAGAAACACGCCGTTCTTCCTCGGAAGCGTACCTGCGACACAGCGGACTCTCGCAGCAACCCCAGACATGCCAAAACATAAAATATGCATGTTTTTTCCTGCGTCTGCACCCTACTGCCAAGCCGGGGGCCAGCTTGACAGAGACCGTTCACGAGCCGCCGCTGCTTCGTTGTCCGGCTTTCCCTTCAAGTCACAAATCAAGCTACGAGTAGATTCTGTCCCCGTCATTTCGTTTTTCATCTATGCTGGTGGATCACACCCCTGAGGAGCACTTATAGCACCTTTCTAGCCCTGCCTTCTCATCCGCGTACCTGAGGCGAGTGAGAATACCGGATCGGCGAAACCAGCTAGAAGCTACATTTATACCAAGGGATGTCTCCGGCAGCTGTGCTTCACAAAGGCTCTCTGAGAAGAGCACCATCCACTGAGACTTGTTCTGTTTACCTTGATGTCAGCAGCTTCCTCATCGGGACCGTACATCTGCATCACCTGGCACAGGGAAATCGATGAACGATGGCACTGGCTCCAGGAATTCCAGACAAAGCGCTGACTTGCACACAGCACATCGTACCGACACACATCTCGTCTGCGTGTAACCCTCGGCATGGGTTTGTCAAGCTAAGGTGTCATCACCTGCATTTGCCGCCTCGACCAATGATTTCCGCGCTTCAGCCAGTTCTGCCACCGACTTGCGCGTTGCTGCGGAGGCCACAGATTTCCTGGCCGTGGCAGCAGCCAAGTGCTTCCGGCTTCAGCCATAGCAGCATCGCGAACAAGCTTGACAGATTGCTGTCGAGCATGGTTCAATCACTGTCACTCCTGGTGGACGTTGTGCTCGCTCTGCTGCTGGCCTCTCACAGGGTATCAGTATCTTTTGAACTGTTGCGCATCGCAGAATGGCCACCGCAAGTCCCTGCATTGCATGATTTTGCAGATGCACAATCCAGCCGACGCACCTGATCCTGCACTGGATCCCTGCAGGAAGGGGATCTTGCACTCTTGGCTCAAGTTACATCGACATATGAGGTGTTACCCAAGGCCGTACCTGTGCGAAGAGAAATATCGCGCGAATAATATAACGAAAGGGCAGTGAAAAGATCTTTAGCCCCTTAATTTCATTCATGTTGTGGTTTCGTTCATTTGCTCATCGTTTTCCTTCGTTCGTAAACTCGCTTGTGAAACTGATGCACGCATTCTCTTGACATTTACTAGAATAAAGGGGCCGTGTAAAGGTTCTTGAAAGGCCCCTACTATATTCCATTTCTTTTCCTTGGGCTCTCTACGCGCACTTTGTTTGCGAAAAGCCCTAAAGTCACAACAATAATGATAACATTTCTATGCTATACTATACTATCGCGGGCGCATTAAACGATGTATAGCATGCCCGCGGTATTATTAGTATGCTAGTATTAACGTGGCGCATATGGAAGGTGCCTCCCCTAAAACGTAGCATTCCGCGACGCACCGCACTGCTCCCAAATGTGAGGAGCTGACGGTCCTTCAAAAGTTGAAATTGTAAACTAAGGATGCCTTCATGCTCCGTTTGTCTGTTGTCAACACGCTGGTTTCTATAGATTGAACAGCACCCTCACTGGCGCTACATCTCCGCATGCTGGCAAAGCTGAAGCCATGGGTGGTCGTTGCCAAAATGCCCTACCGCATCATGATGGGTACAAAGACACTCGACATGGAGCGGGAACTGCGAAAGGGTCCCGGCATCATGTCTCAGAAAAGCTGCTGGAGCATCTTCAGCTGCTTGACTTAAAGTTATCAACCTTCAAACCTGGCGGATTTCCAAGTGCAATGATGGTGCTTTAGCAGCAGTACTATCGTGCGGACTCATGGCGCAAACATAAACTTATGCACGAAAATCCATGGATGTTTCCTTGACAAGCAGCCTTGAATTGCACTTACACGCGAGTGTCGCACACAACGGGTCGGTGTGGTACAGTACTTTCATCGCATAGTCACCTAGTCTGCATTAGAAAGCGACACGCCCGATACGCACCACAAAAACTGGCAGGTCAGCACCTCGGAGCAGCCGACGCAACAGTCATGAAGCTGGTCTCACCTTCGATGGGGGAATCGAGAGGCTTGGAAAGGATCTGAAATCAGCGCAGCGGCTGCTCCCTTCATCGTTCTTTCAAGTTACGGTTTGGAATACTTGGCATCTTAATCATCTTAACATATCGAGACTGGCAGATCACTCCACAGTTGTCGAGAACCAGCAGGCAAACTCACCGTGCCTAACATGTACTCGTCAGTTGATCGACGCTGGAAGCTTGACCTGGCAGATGGCTCCTTTCCCTCCGGCAGATCAGTGGGGCAGCCTCTGGCCGGCTTCCTCCTTGCTTCTAAAGATCCTATCAGTTGCACCGGGCCGGCCTTCGAGCAGTAGCAGCAAAACTCATCCGCGAAGCTGATGCCTGATTCTGCGCATCATGTCTTTGTATGCGGGTGAAACTCCACTCCGTTTCAGTTCCGCTTCTTATCCCTGAGGCCTCACTGCCCGGCAACGGCCCACAGCCAGGAAGTGAGACTTTTGGCCTCGGCTGGCCAACACTTTACAAGACCTCATCTGACAAAAGCCGAGCCTTAGAGTTGAAGTATATAATTATATAATGCATATGAGCAATACAAAGCAATACTACTAGCAATGCTGTTTAACATCTGTCATGCCACTTCGCGCAACTGTCCTGAGCTCAGCACTTTGGGGGCAAAGGCTGGTTGAGTGCGTTGCCGTTGGATGGCCGCGGCAAAGCTGCTGCAGTTGCTGCGAAACTGCGAGGTTGCAAGCAACACTGCATTCACTACATATCCTTGATCGAAGTTAGTCTTTGCTCGCCACGCGGCGTGAGGCAATGCAGCCGAAGTATGCTAACGTACCCAAGCGGACCTATAGGACTAAGATGCTCTAAGGTTCTCTAAGTCAAGCGCAGCTCACAAGGCCTTGATCCGGATGCCGCGCTAGCGGCGGCAATCTGGGCATCAACCTGCTCGTCGATGCTGGCCTGGACCAGGCATGAATTTCATTGAAATCCAGCATCCGTGGCCGAAAGCCAATGGTTGGGACACTTGTACTTGCGAAGTCATTTCGACGGCTTACGCTTTTTGCAATCATGCAATCGAGAAATGCGGCTCTGTTGCAAGAGCTTTGGCATAGTGTTGCCTAGCGAGCCTAATGGCTTAGTTATGTCGGCAGTTCACATAAGCAATGAAATACTCTTCACAACGAAGCCACATGCCTATCCTGTGTACATCGAGGTGAAACATCTACGTTGCAAGTCAGCACCCCTGTTGCAATCAGAGTACAGGCTGCAGCACATTCAAAGCGATGAAAAGCACCCGACCGAGTTAGAAGGTGTAAGAAGGTGCAACACATGACGGTGCCAATGCTATGGCAATCAGATGTCAGGCATGGAGCCCATCACAAAGAGGCTCGGTGCCATAAGCTCGCGCCTCTGCAGATCCAAAGCTGAATGTCACAGAGAGCGCAGTTGCCGTGCAACAACTGTGCAACAGAAGTGCGTCGTCAGTTCTCAGACAAACAGCTTGGATACGGCTCGATCGTGTCTGCGCCTCATTGCGCAGAGCTTCACAGCAAAGGGTACAGTGGTGCACCTCCTGGAACCACAGGCAGAGCGCCTTGCATCAGCATCCGTATTCGTAAGGCCGTCAAAGTTTCAAAGTGATCGAAACAGCTTTGCTAGCATGTACTCTTGTAGATACATTTTAAATGCACACATAGTGACATAATGTGACATAGTGATGCGACATCCTGCAAGCTTTCAAAATATGAAAGTAGGCTGCTGAGGACATGGCTGTCTCTGCTGCAAAGAACAGGACCACGGTTCGTGCCGTTGACTCGGGAGTCTTCCAGACCACACCTGTGAGAAACACCTCCTGTGCCAACACGTCTAACAGTCTTCTAACCTCTACCAAGTGAGCAAGGCTGACAGGTCGGTATTGTGTTGACACAGCCGTACATGTGTAAAAGCAAGGGAAGCCTGGGATCATTGCGGCTGCCGGGGTGTGGGCCACTGCAGCACCGCAAACAATCGTTTCCTGCAAGTGCTGCGAGATGTGTGTGAGGCAGTACTGTAAAGCAGAAAGATGGTATTCTCCGGCAGCTATGATGTGAGCAAGCCAGTGCACGGCAGGCATGTGTGATTCCAAGCTACGCTCAAGAAGGGCCTACGATTCTTGTTTGGGAGATGGTTCTGGAACAATTTCCCACCTTGGGGCACCATAGAAACCAGCGGCTCAAGCTTGTTTGCCAAACGCAGATTCAACCGATGGGAAAGTTGCATGTCTCTCGCACTAGTACGACTTGGTACGACGTGTGGACCTGTGGAGTCATTTCTAACTTTGGACTGACTGGAGCGGAATAAGTGGTTCTTTCGGGATCACATACGAAACCCGGTTGGTCAGTACGTGCCCCACTCGCCCTCGAGCCCGGATTGCAACCGGCTCATGTTCAGGTTCGGGTGATGGTGGTTTCGGGTTCATGTTCGGGGGAAGGGGAGGGGTTCAGGTTCAGGTTCGTCTCCCCTTCCCGTTCGGGAGATGGTGGGGCCGGGGTGAGGAGGGGGAGGGGTGAGGGTTCGGGTGGTTTTTTTTTTTTTGGGGGGGGGGGGGGGGGTGGGGGGGTTGGGGGGTTGGGGGGTTGGGGCGTGGGGGCGTGGGGGCGTTGGGGCGTTGGGGCGTTGGGGCGTTGGGGCGTTGGGGCGTTGGGGGGGGGGGTGCGTGGGCACATCAACATTGCCGGCCAGGGCAGTACGGCGGGAAGAATCACATTCGGCAACGACGGTCGAATTGTTCGAAGGCCTACGCCAGAGTTGCTGGACTATGTGGGCGCGTGTCCAGAAGCGAGAGGTCAAAGGAGTTGCTGCCATCACTGGCCTCACCAAGAGAGGCACTCCCCCCTTCTATGTGAGAATCTGCCAAAGCAACCACACGTCTCTGCTCTCCGAACCTTTCACTACCTTCAGCCCAATCTGAGGTCTGTGCTGCGAACATTCCCAGTCCTGTGCGTGCCTCCAGCAAACACCACAGCTTAGGGATGCCAGGCAGAGCGTCGACGCTACAACACGAGAAGAAACACATCCTGGCTCCAGCTGCCTCCGCCACCGGCGACGACAGTACTAGCATGCCCCCCTTCACGAGCAAGCTGTGTGGGTCAAAGCTGCCCTCGTTGCTGAGAACCAACACCTGGTTGTCATGAGTCATGACATTGCAAACAGGACAATGTACACCGAGCTGCAAGAGCATGCTATCTGACGAAGCAGCTAAGCAGGCTAAGCAGCTGACAGTCATGCCGTTGACCCCTGGAGTATCCTCAGGTGATAGTCAACGAAAATAGGTCGACATGTGTCAGAATGTGTCAGAAACATGTGCGACACGCCACAACCACATGTCACAAGACCGTCAAACGACGCTCTTCCTGTAGATGGGGTGCTTTACACCAGAATCTGCGACACTTGACGCTTGTGGCATGCGAATGCTGTGCTCGGTGCAGGTTGACGATTCCAGATCACGTCCCCATAAATAGACTGTGGCGATTAAATAAGATTCACCTTTCAATGCCCGACTGCTAACAGCAAGTCTGCAAAGGTTGCAGCTGTATTTGGACTGAGCTCTCACCGCAAAGGCGCACCTGGTGTGTCTGAAGGCACTGATCAGGAGCCGACTGGCCCTGAAAGGGGCGGCTAGAATGTATCGATTGCATCAATTCTGTCATTTTCCCTCATCAACCCTCTCTCACACAAGTAGCTGACACCGCTATCAGAGCACACTGCCTCGAATTCCCAAGGGGCTGGTCGGAAAAACGACTTCTGCTCGATCACATCTTGCACGACAAGGTGCTCCTCTAGAAAGCCACGTGCGTATACCAGTACACGGCCACGGCCACTACAAATCGTGAGTTATCGTGAGTTACAATCAAGGTGCTGATGGCGGAGCACCACTGCAACGTGCCTGGGCAGTCGCGCCGGCTAGCTTCTCTTCGACCTGCGGTTAACATTCAGCACCGATGCGTCGGCGCAGCTGAGTTGTGTGCAAAGTCGACAACTAGGACATCATGCCGTCCTGCCTGCGAACCATGAGATGCTTGCCTCAGGTGCAATTGAGCCAGGAACGCAGCACTGGTTTTACAGTCCTACAAGGTTCGGAATGTCTACAATTACAGTAGCTCGTGGACCGCCAGCCATACCAAACTCATACCAAGATGCGAAGACACCGGTGACTCTGCATCACTGCCTGACAGCTCTGCAATCATTCCACCCTGCCCCTACTATCGACAATAGTCATGTCCTACAAAGAGCCCCCTTGAGAGCTGTTTGCCATCGCGTCGGACATGTAAGTCAAGTGAACTGTTTGTTTTTCATCGTGTGGGCTCTGCACATTACGTTGACTTCCTATGCGGCCTGGTGTGAACTCATGTTTAGCAGCCACGTCGCCTCCGTGCGGAGTAGGTGGTTGATGAGAGGCTACGCGGACCTACGCGCGAAGCCCTCAAACAAAGCCGCGCGCAACTGCTTTGGCTGGTAGCGTACTGGAGTGCTCTCCCCAAGCGCCACGGTTTTGATTGGTTCTGTGGGCAACAGGCCGGGCTACGACATTGAAACGAGACCTATGTCTACGTCTACGTGCAAGCTACTCGGAGCCTATGAAAATTTCAAGCGCTTTCCGAACCCGTCCCCTCTAATCCCCACCACCCACTTAGTAAACATGCTTTTAACCCTTGTATTGCACCCCTCGCACCCTTCCGCAAATGTGTTTCGCATCTGCGTTGTCTGCCGCGCATTAAATGTATACCGACAACCTACGCGGACCGACAACCTCGCGGACCTTCGCAAACCTACGCCCCGCAGCGTGAACGCTACGCGGCCGAAACCCAATGTTCACAAATGCTCACTCTCTAAGAATTTGGCTTTTCAAACAACATAACGTTGCCATGCGTTGCTCATAAGTTGGAACCAAAGCCAGGCGGTATTGGGAGTTCATAGCATCCAAGCGGCCACTCAGCTCAGCTAGCGCGGCCCAAGGAGTGGAATGCCTTTCCAGGAATTGCTTCTGCACTTTGCCTACAACGGAAGCGCTCTCGATTCGAGCGATTTCATTCTTTTAAAGAAGCATAGTCCCTCAGGTTCGTTGTTGGCAGTACGTGTTGCTAACATGTTGATAGCCTCGAAGGAGTCTTCGGAGTCGCGCTAGACTCTCGATGCACCTGCTAGTCACCGCCAGTCAGGGGAAGCCTCCGGCAACATGCCGGTGATAGAAAGACAGAAATGTTCTCATTATGCAACTTTCAACTTCGACAGCGGATGGTTCTTGTTTGGCCTGCATCGGCGGGCGCTGCGGGGTTGGATGCAGCTTTGCTTCCGCCTGAACGTGCTCGGGAAAAACTTGCCAAGCGCCAAGTAGCCATATCTGACTCGCCTCTTGCAGCTTGCGTCGCAGCTCTGCCGCGACCAAATGGACTGTTTTGGTCACACACCTGGCACCGCGTCTGCCATTATTTTTGGAAGCAGCACAAATCGCTTTGAAAGCCTCTCTGCTGATCAACAAGTGCACGATCTTCCTGTTTCAATTTGAAAGAAATGCCGGCAATGCCTGTAAAACTCGTCCTCCGTGACCACAGGCACACTTGCTTCTAAGGTGCCTGTGACGGCGAATGCCTCACGCTTTTTTGATGTGTAATCAATCTAAAGTCCGAAGATGCCGAGCTTGAATGTGGTTCGAAACAAACCCACATCTGAGCTGCAAACCTCGATGGCTTCCCACGTCAACCTTTCGAAGAGCTACGATTGCAGCTTGCCATAAAGTAATATTCAATATTATACCAGCGTAGACCCCAAAAAGTGAGTGAGAGTCCATGGGAGCCCCAAAGTCCAACGTTTGCTTCGCATGTCGCGCGGCCAGACGCCCAAAAGCGATGACGGTACGTGTTCGAGCACAGTGAATGCTGCCATGCTCGCGTCTCTAGGCGAGAGCGCGATCTTTGTCCAAAATGTGAGCAAGCGTGGACAAAGAAACAATGCTACGAGCCGCGGGCGCCAGCCACTCGCAATTACTAGCCGACTTAGCCTCTCTTACTTAGAACGTGAGAGCCCCTAAGTGTTGACACACTGTTTGGCGAACAAAAGGTACCACAACAAGCAATACATCGAAATGGCTTGCATGCCCAGCCACTCTGTGGAGCCAAGGCTGTGGGCAAATGTCCAAAGCAGCCTTCGAAGCTCGACGCGCCTTGACAGCATGATCAACATGCGGTGACCACCGCTGTGTTCCGGTTTTCTCACATGCTCACGATTGCTCACGTGTCTCCAAACAACGTGTTTGAGCTGGTGCGCGCGCTGCACAGGTTGCACAGGGGGTAGACTTTGGGATGCCTGGTGGCTTGTTTGTGTGTGAGCGCCAACAGGGGCTCTGGAACCATCATGCAAGTCTCAGGAACTATCAGAGCATTCTCAGGGCCTGTTTAGAAACAACCCCAAACGGTTGGGAACTCTCTCGAACCGTCGGAATTGTGGATAAGTGCCTCGCGAATGAGGGCTTCAAAGTTCGAAGGGCCGAATGAATGGGTCTTGAGATTAATGCAACGGTTCTTGAAACCAGGAAACGCAAGGACAGACACCCCGTGCTTAAAACACCACCGGGTCCTCTACGGTAGACTGGGAGATAGTGGATGTGAAATCATGCCGACATCTTCTAATGCCTGCAAGCACTGGCTTCAAGAAAAAAAACACTTTCTGTGCAGGGGTCCGAAGTCTAAACCGCGCATAGTCCCGCACAGTTGGAACCGTAGCTTGGGCCACTTGTAGCATTGACAAGCAATTGGCCTCATCGCCCCGTGTGCATCGAGACCGGCTCGGCGAAAGTGGGCATCACACCTGTGAAGACCATCAAAGACTGCATTCAAGATCATTCAAGTCCAGGTCAAACAGCTGCTGAGGTTGGTGCTCTCGCTTCAACGTTTCCGTATCTGACAGGAGCCTTTCTACTCTTTGGATGCACCTTGAAGAACAGTCGCATGCAAACGATTGGGAGGCACGCTTGACCTCTGGTGACTAAGTCGCGAGCACGGTTAGTTGCTGTTGGTCGCCCTCTGGGCCGTTCCCCTTGCCACGAACAACGCACGGCGCGAACGATTTGGCTGCCTGCGAGAATTTCATCCAGCGATTGCGCTCCATTATCCAACGCAACTCGTGTTCTCGCATGGACGTAATTAGCCGCGAAATGCTGGAAACGTGACGATTGATGCAAAAACAAGGCAGTTACCTGCTGCCCCATGCGGTGCAGGCTAAGGAACTGTGCGGCACCTCATGTTGCGTGATCTTTGGGCATACCTGCTAGCAAATTTGTAAACGCATGTCCTGTAAGATCGCAAACTGGGTCCGTTTTAATCGTTCAAAGTCGGTTGCAACCCCTGCGAGACCTTGAGAACAGCCTTTGTTTGCTGTTTCGAATGCATTCTGCTTTCAAATTCGATAGTAGGAACTGCATGCAACTGCTTTGTCTCTTCCATTACTAGAAGCTGAAATCACGACATGCTGTGTGTGAGATCTCACGTCCTGTCTGGAGCCGAATGGCTCGAACAACGCGAGTTTTCATGCATATAACACCCTCCTGACTTCTGCAGCAATCAATAAGATTTCGGGCAAATGCGAAACGAATAACATGAGCGCTATCTGTTTGTCACTGTTGCAAGCGGGCAAAATAAGTGCCTGAGCCTCTGCGATGGTGTTGCGCATTCGGGATTCTTCCTGGCAACCAGGAACAAATGATACTCCGGTTGCAAGGACATGCGAATGCACGTGCCCATCTTCAAAGCTCCCTCCTCTGCATACTGCTCGAGAATTCGCTCTCGACGCTGCATCCAGCAGAAAGCAACGATCTCAAATGGCATCCCAACATTGAGTGCTGCATTGCACTTACTTGTACCGGTGCATAAGTTCTGAGGACGACGCGGCCAAGCAAATCAATAACGCAAGAAAGGCACTGGCCAACCAACCTCGACGATCAAATAGAATGATCATGCAGATCACAACCCAAAATTAACTTTCAAGCAACGTATTATCATTGCTACCTGCTTGGACATGGGTTGCAAAGTAGCCTCCTGTGTCATTCGCCCCATTCATGGCCAACGGGCTGTTCGGAAGTCTTGCCTGTTCATGCCGTTCCACCACACATTGCGCATGTTGGACATGGTTGGCCAGCCCTGCTTTGTGACACATGCGCCTGCCTCCAGCCCCAGCCATTGCAGTGTCTGTGCCCTGGGAAACAGGTCACACTCCTGGACAATTCATGGTATCCGCGCATGCGGGACAACACCCTTTGGGCATTCACATGGGATGCATGGTGCTCGGCAGACTCTTCATCACCTTGAAAGGCTGGCATGTAAGCAACATTTTGCATCCTGCCGGAATTGCACACGAGTAGGGCTCAAGCCGTACCTCTCAAAGACATGGCGCCAAATGCTCACACCTAACGTTGATTCAACAGAGTTGATGATAGCCCTGTGGCCCCAGGCACAAGACTGCATTGCCAAGTTTGGCTTAGCGAAGATGATGTCACATGCATCAAAGCGACCATCATGACCATCAAAGCGATAAATTCATGATGTAACGCTCTGCGCAGTGTCGGCTAAACAGTATTTGCTGGCTAAAGCTGCTGCTGGAGCCATGCATCGTGCGAGCGAGTTTAAGTAATGTGCTCCAATTCTTGCGCGTCCCCCCCCCCCCCCCCCTGGTACACCTGCGGTAGCACTTCATGTGACGACTTCTCGCTCGCACTATTGCGTTGTGTTAACTTTTGCAGCCGCCCTTACGAGATGTACAAGCGTCTTCTGGAGTGAGGAACTGATATTGAGTAGCCTAAGCATGCACTTTTAAAGCTCAAAGTCGAGTAAGTTCCTTTAGATTATACAGAACTCACACCCTTGCTCTTCTGCATTGGTCGAAAATAAGGCCTTGCAAGCATCGGGTACAGCAATGCGTCAGTGCTGCAAGTGCTGCTGGCGCTTGCTGGACACACTTTCGACCGCCTGGCTGACAGTGGCTGGACTGACACGAAAAGCAAACTGGCCTGGCCCTGAAGCCTGAACCTTTGTTTGCAAGGTTTTGCAAGTGAACATGTTGAACATGTCGTGCTTTCCAGTGCAAAGCAGGTACTAGCGTGGCATGCACGACAAGCCCCTTCTTATTCGTCTGTCACGAAACCCTCGATACTGCTGAAAAGAGGGTCCCTGCTCCCTCCTGCAAAAAAGACAGCCATCAAGCAAATCTGGTTGTCCTGTTTCTTTGTCTACTACACTGAAGCAAACCCACTAATCCAAAACACCCAAAGAGATGCAAGCGAGATCAGGGAAGTATAAACAGGCGTTCGGTTGCCCTGCCTGATGGCCACTTAAGCTGCCCGGAGCTCGAAAAACTCTGTGCTGGCATCTGCAAAATACGCCTGCGAACCAGCCTGCCATTCGATGGGCCTGGATTTCAACAACCCAGCAAGCACCAGTCATGGCAATGCAAAATCGGACCAACACATCTTGAAGAAAGACGCAGAAAGACTCAGCAAGCGGCTCGTGAGGGTTCAATCGTGCTCTGTCCAGAAAAGTGCCATGTGCGGACCCGAGATCCTGCTCTCAGCACATCTCATTGCCAAATGGTCCAACAGCTCACAGGGCACATGATGCGGCACATGGGCTGCTCCTTCAAGAAGATCTTGCCGGTCCAGTTCTGAAGCACAATCGCATGGGCCTTTGACCTGGCGTGCTGAATTCGGGATCTGCTGCATCGTTGTAATTCCAGATGGTTGAATCAGTCGCTTGTGTCTTGGTTTCCTGTGTCGCGTACAAGAACACTGGCAATCTGACCTTTGTGGATGGCTGGGACTTGGGCAGGGGGGGGACAGACGCCTGTCCATCTACAAGCATGGGGGCAGTAGCCAGTAAACAAGGCAGAATCACGACAAAGGGCATGCCAAGCCGATATCCGGCCTGGGCCCACGTCTTATTGCTTTTGCACATGCTAACAAGCTTCCGCAGGGTTGACGATTATGCTGCACAAATTGGTACAGAAGGTTGCTTGGTAAGCAGCTCCATCTCTGCAGGATTCTGCATGTGGGCAAGAACCTTCCTGATCTGATCGCAAATGTGGACGCCTTTTGCTGCCCGATGATGTTCGGCCCGCTGGTACCGTGCACCAATTCAGATGACACGGCCCAAGAGCTCAAGGTGCTCCTTGCCGACTCACCGACGAAGAAACGCCTATTTCGGGCTGGACACCGTCAGCTCCTCAGCTCCTCCATCTGTGCATTCAGTGCATGAATCACGGCATCATCCTGAGCGTTGCGACATCAAGCAGAACTCAGGCCGCAGATGGCTGCAGCTAAAGAGCTACTAGGGATTATTCGTTAGCTTGGCCAGAGACAGCACATTCGCGCCATGCGAAATTTAATTTACCGCCGTGAGAGGGCACCCGGGCACCCCGAAAATCTCTTACAGAATGCTCGCGAAAGGTTACGATACCCCCCAAGATAGGGCTAATGTCCCTCACGTTCATAAGTTACTTTTCGGCAGATGCAGCAAATCATAAAGAGCATTTTATGGTACTAGATTTGGCGCACCCTCCCCACCTTCCTTTGCACGAACTGAGCCCATGGGTATCCCCGTCTATTTTGGGAAGGTCTCATCCTAGAAGTGCCTTCACAACAACAAAAAGCTAATCTTGCGCCCTGCCACAACCTTTGCTAGGCTTGCTGCCAAGACGCGTCCGTGTATAGGCCGCTGGCAAGAAGCTCACTCTTCTGCTGTTGCAGCCATTCTAAGCTGAACTTCGGTGAGGGTTTGTTTCGTTGTCCTTGGGCCTCTGGTTGGGTGACTGCCATGGCATCCTCTGCAACTGCTTCATTTGATTCCCTGGCTGAAGGTGCCGTTGCCTTCAACACTTCCGGAATGGGTGACTCTGGCAGCTGCTGGTGCAAGATGCGCTGGCAAAGCTCTTCGACTTTCCGGCGAAAGTGGTCTCGAGAAGCTGCCAAGGTTTCACAGCGCACTCGCTCTTCGCAAAGCTGCAACTGTAGGCCTCAGGACGCTGCAGCAGATCAACACAGAGTTCTGAAGGCAGACTGAGGCGAGTACTTGTACTTAGTAGAGCTCACGACCTTGATGGCCCTTGAAGATGTCCGACCAGAGTATACTAAGTTTACTACTTGAAGTCTTGAAGTGCAACCTACACTGAACGTCGGCCGGAAGTGCCGCACCTCGCAGCTCCTCCTCGGCTGACAAACTTGCAGTGCCGCTCGTTGCCTCTGTGCTTTCCTTGACCAAGGAGGCCTGCAGCTCTGAGCATCTCTTGCGGATTTCGGACGTCTCAAGCTCCAAGTCTTTCATTCTGGATTCCAGCTGAGCGTGCTTCCGCTTCTCAAAGTCCAGCGCTTGCTCTGTTTCGGCTCTTTGCCGTCGCAACGCCTCTTCACAAGCTTGGATGGCAAGGTCAGCTTTTCGCTTGGCTTGAGCGTTCATTGCAGCTGAATTGGACGCCTCTGCACTGATTGAGATCTCTCGCTGCTGGATGTCTGCTAGCTTTTTCTTGGCGCGTTGTTCCAATTCCCTCAGCTCGGTCTGCCTCTGCCGAAAAGTCTGCACTCGCAGCAGTTCATGTTGGCGGTACTCCTCTTCAAGTTCTTCCCGCAGTTGAGTCTCAAGCTCCTTTAGGCGGATGTTGGATCTGTCCTCCTCCTGCTGTTTCCAGACTTCCAAGGAGTAGGCGATCCGATATGCAGGACTCGACCTTAAAGCTTCAAGCCCTTCGACAGCGAGCGCCGTGAGCGCTTCCGCGTCATGTTCGGCAACTTTTGCATCTTTTCCCAACGTCTCCCCCAGCTCGCGTTGAGGACGCGTGCTAGCATTGCCAGCCGCATCAATGTCCTGTGCTTTCGTGCTCCGTGTGCTGTCACGCACAGCTCGAGATGCAGGGCCCAGGTCTTCCACGAAGAAAAGGATGCGGATCTCGCCGACAATGTCTGGCAGCTTTTCCTCGGCACTGCCGAGGAGGCACACTTGGTCAAAGACCCGAAAACCATGAACCATGCTGGGCAATCTTGTTGAGCGCCGCAAGGGTTGTGAGAATGCCGAGGCCAAAGACACTTCTGCAACGCCTAGCAAGCAGTCCTTCTGGAATGCATCTTGTGCCCACACCTCAACGTGCAAGGATTCCTCAAAAGCCGCTTCCAAAGCCTCCTTCGTAGCCGTGAGGCTATAAGCTGCGAAGCCTTTGGGGAGGTGTGTTGTGATGTTGTGCCTTGCAAGTACTGGCGGGTGGGTTTGAAACGTCCGAGACGTAGCTCTTGACTGACCCGACTTGCACATCTTCAGGGGCGCGTAGGAGTATGCAGCGAACACCTTTGCCGAAACGGACTTCAGCTTTATGGATCGAGCCTCCAACGAGACTCGCCATGTCCGAGGGCCCGTTGCAATGTGCCCGGACATCACATCCCGGCCATTCCCGGAATTCTTTGGCATTTCGATGCCTTTGTTTCCCCAGGGAATCCGCCTTACAGTGCCTTGCAGTCGCAATTTGATGGTGGTGTTGCCCACAAGTTGGATGTCTGCATGGACTTGAGGCTGATCTGTGGCTGCCTCTGCAAGCCTTAGGAGCCTGGATAAGTCTAAAGGACAGCTCCCGTTGGCACGCCTGCCATGCCGATCTGACAATGCAGCTTCAGATACCCAGGCGTCCAGAGAGTACAATGCCGGCACCGCCTCCTGCCAGGATTCACCTGTCAGCAACGTTGTTTGAACTTTCGTGCCGGCGTCCAACACCTGTTCAGTTCCATCGAGGTAGAGCAACAAACCATCGTCACATGCGAGGCTCTCCAGCTCCTGCAAGCCATTGACGAGCCATGCGTAAATTCTTCACAAGGCACAGCCATGCCCAATGATTACCAGCCTCATTTAGCTGCCTTGTGGAACGTGTCTAGAATCTAGAATCCATCCATTTGTTCAAGTGAAGCAATCGCACACTAGTCTTACGCCTGTTACCATAGGTACCAGTACCTTGCCCTACCCGGCAGAGTGGCTGCGACAGTTAGTCGCTAAGTGGCGACTTGCGCACTGACAAGTGGACTGTTTACTTGTTTATGTTATATGTGGAACCCCTCAATGGCAGACCCCTGCACTGCATTCCACAGGCTCCAGGACAAAGGTGCTCGTCGTTGGAGCCATCTGACAGCTGCTCGCTGACGGCGGTCAGCAGGGGCTGCCATTGTCGGTGGCCACGTCTGCTACAGTCGGCTGCAACTGTAATTACTTCAAATAATTTCGGTTTAGAGGTGGGATACGTAAGGCATGAGCGTCTAGCGTTGCTTCTTTTTGCTTGAGCTAATGTTCCTAGCCGCCATAGCCTTTATGAGTGGCATACATTGCCCACGACCTTGCCAAGACAGCAGCAAGAGCTCATGCATTGCACCCACCCAAGTTCGCACAAGCAGTGTGCTATAAAGCCTGATGAATGCCTTTGCAATGGATTGGTGCTTCTGCCCTTAGATGCCTTAGCACCTCAGTGTTGCTTTGCTGTGTGCCTGGCTCAGGCACCCCCGCACGACGAGCTTCGGCGGCTTGTGCCTCGTGAAGCCTCGTGGAACCAGTTCATGACAGTGTGTGAGACATTGCATTTCAAGATCTGATTGTCATATACTATCGCAAAACCTCAGGGAGGTAACGAGCATGCGATGTCGCTTTATGACTTGGGCCTGCCACGTTCCATATTTAGCTTGGCTTTGTCAGAGCAGCTACAGTTGCAAATGAGGAAGTGATGCCAGGGAGAACACGAATGCTCGAAACATACTCGCGATGCTCATGACGCGGAGCCTCCGTCCAAGGAGCGCCCAGGCGCGGCCTTGGTTGGACTGTGAACCGGAGAAACAATGGGGGCTCTTGCAACAACGACGACGACAACTGCCACGACATACCACGACCACGCCCGCACCTACAACCACCACGCATATTCTTCGCCCACGGCAGACAAATCCCGGTATCCCAGAAGGAAGAGGACTCCTACCATAGTGATGTTGCATTCGCTGGGTTTGTGCCAACAAGCCTGCCGTGTGACGAAAACCACAGCAGCAGCAGCAGCAGCAGCAGGAGGAGCAGGAGGAGCAGGAGGAGCAGGAGGAGCAGGAGGAGCAGGAGGAGCAGGAGTAGCTGGAGCAGCAGGAGCAGCAGCAGGAACAGGAGCAGCAGGAGGAAGAGCAAGAGCAAGAGCAAGAGCAAGAGCAAGAGCAAGAGCAAGAGCAAGAGCAAGAGCAAGAGCAAGAGCAAGAGCAAGAGCAAGAGCACCACCCCCACCACCCCCCCCACCACCCACCACCACCCCCACCACCCACCACCCCCACCCCCACCACCCCCACCACCCCACCCCCCACCCCCCCACCCCCACCACCCCCACCACCAACCACCCCCACCACCCCCACCACCACCACCACCACCACCACCACCACCACCACCACCACCACCACCACCACCACCACCAAAAACAACAACAACCACCCCCACTACCAACAACGACAACAACGACAACATCGACCACAACCGGTGTATTCAACGCTGAGCGAGCGAACAAACAAACAGCGACAACAACGACACCGACAACCGCGACAACCATGATGGTCAATGCTGCATCGCAATCACGCTAAGCAAGTGGCGCCCCAACCTCATGCGCTTGGACGGGACATTGCTTCCAGGAACATGCCTGACCTGCAAAGCCAAAGCAGCCAATACCACGGTCCAGCTTTACAAAGGCAGGGGGCATGCATGCACAAGCACTGGTGAAGTTATTGGAAGAATAAGTTCCATAAGTTCCTCTGCGCCCAAGACTTTCTTGCATGGTAGTGTCAGCCTCGGTTGCATGACTTACTTATAAAACCGCTCAGTTTGCACGCCCCGGCACGCACATCAATGTTGTTGCGCCCTGCTCTGTGCCGCCACCCGACCCGCTCTGCTACTACCAAAAGTTTGTTTGGCTCGATTACCCTGAGTCTCCAGAATACGTGAATTTAGGTGTCGTCGAATTTAGGTAAAAACCATGGAATTAGGTAAATATTTACTTATTTATTTACTTAATTTTTCGTGTAAGTAAATTTACTTTACACCTAAAACACAATTAGGTGCAAAGTAATTATAAATTAGGTTCAAACTAATTATAAATTAGGTTCAGAGTAAATAAAAATTTTGGAGTACAGGTGAATATGTCTAGCGTTCCAAAAGTATTTTCGACAGAATTTTGTTTATGCTTTTGGGACACAACCGAAGAAGGATATTCCAAAGAACGTGACCGAGATAAGGTTTTGTGGGACAGTTCGCAAGCGACTTTTTACTTGTGACAGTCTGCAGCACGTGGCTTTTTTATACTTGTGAGACAGCCTGCAGCATTTTTTTTGGCTTGTGACACACAGTCTGCAGCATGTGGCTTTTACTTGTGAGGCAGCCCTTTTCCTATAGACCAGCTTTTCTGAAACAACCGAGCTTTACTTGTGAGACAGTTTGCACAGAAAAGGTTGTGTTTACTTGTGGCTTTACTTGTGAGAGACAGCCCCTCCCAGACCAGCTTTTCTGAAACAACCGAGCTTTTTACTTGTGAGACAATTTGCACAGAAGGTTATGTTTACTTGTGAAAGCATCTGCGAGCGTTTTGTACTCCATGCTTGTGGACAAGAAGCTTTTGTGATCAAGGTGTGGTGTGTGGAGACTGACAGAAAGCTGTTTCCTTGTTTTTGCTTCGCAAAGATGGCAGGCCTAGCGAAGGCCATGGCAGCCATTCAACAGATGGAAGCAAAAGCCACCTCGAACAAGAAGAACTTCCGGCTCATAGCCGACCCGTGCATCAGTGTCGAATCCTTGAAGCGGCCACTCCGTAACTATCTAGAGTTTCACAAGAGCAGCGACATGTGGTCGCTGGTGTGTCCGCCACCTGGCGGACCCCTCACCTTTACGTGGCACACGCCACCGAACGGAAGTTGGCTTTCGAAGTGCATTGGACTGCTGTACGACCTCCTAGAAGTAGCTCCAAATTCGAAGCTTCAATCTGTGAAGCTGCTTCGGGCCTTGAAGTCTCTTGTCGAGGACAAGACCATGAGCATCTGTACTCGCAAGATGACAGAGTCTGATGTCTTGGACCGGATAGACCTCAGCATTCGGCTGCTCCTCTCGCACCTCCGGCAGCTCAAGCAGAACCTCTCCTTGAAGCTAAAAGTTCTTCGTATGTGCACAGACGACGAGAAGATGAAGCTTGTTGTTTAGAGCATAGTCTCGTTTCATATGTGGTTGGTTGTCTTCTTCGTTGTTTTTTTACTGCTTATACATGAGAGAGAAACACAGAGAGAGCAAACCTGTTTTTGCAGGAAGATCAATCTCACGTTGGACAAGCTGGAGCTGCCGATGGAGCTTCTTGTTGGTGATGCGAAGCCCTTGTTGGAAGAAGGGGAAGCGGATGGTGAAGAGGAAAACGCAAGCCCAGTCAGGCCATGCACGACCATGGTGGTGTATGAGCCGCAGCCCGCCTTCGTCAGCCCAGTCACCTCTGCTCCTCCGCCCACCTCCCAGCCCACCTCCCAGCCCATCGCCAAGCCCATCTCCACACCCAGCTCGTCGGCGAGAGTTCCATGGACTCTTCCCCAGTTGCCACAGATTTTCGCCAAGATCAACCAGGGCACTGGCAGGCAGGATCACAAAAAAACTTCCGAGGACGAGTGTGTGGCAAAAGGCAAGGCCAAAGCAAAGGTCTTGAAACCCAAGGCCTGCAGTCCCAAGGCCAAGGCCGGCAGTTCCAAGTCCTGCAAGTCCAAGGCCAAAGCCAAGACTTGCAAGCCGAAGGCCAAAAGCTCCCAGCCCGACATCGCGAAGCCTGGAGACTCCAAGACCCAAACCCAGGCCTCCAAGCCCGAAGCCTCGAAGACCTCCAAGAACGAGCTGGACATCCTTGCAGCAGCCATGAATTTGGTGCCCGACGTTGCCTTGGCGAAGAAGAAGGCGAAGAACGAGAAGAAGCAGCCGAAGATCGAAAAGAAGACCGACAAGAAAGATGCAGTGACCAAGAAGAATGTCCCAAAAAAAGAAGAGCCCAAGAAGCCCAAGGCTGAGATGACAGATGCGAAGATGCCGAAGGCCAAGAAGTTGAAGAAGGAAGGCCCCGAGGTCGCAGCGAGCGATGTGCCTTTCCCCAAGCTTCCCGTGAATTATGTGTTCGAAGCTACCACGTATGGCGAGTGCAAAGTCGAGTTTTACAAGCAGAAGAGTTACATCCGGAACTACGATGCAATGGGCAAGAAGAGAAGCATCATCAGCAGCTGCCACCCCAAGCACCACACCATTTGTGAGCAGCTTGTGCCACATGTAAAGGAAGGGAAATCCTTGCTGGAGCTTTACCAGTGTAGGATCGACATTGTTTCGAAGTTGAATGCCTGAGAGAATCTGGCATGGATCTTTAGATAGCTTCGCCGTTCACGAAGCCAATCCTGCTGTTTTCGATCGACGTATCGATTTCAGTCTCGATGTGTGTGTGCACACAATGGGTCTCAGTGGGGTAGATATACAGACACACACGGAAGATGTGCCGAGAAAGCGAAGATGTCGCATTGCGCCCAGAAACACTTTTGAAGACAAAACCCTAAACTAAACCCTATAAACCCTAAACCCTAAAACCTAAAGCCTAAACGCTAAACCCTAAACCCTAAACCCTAAACCCTAAACCCTAAACCCTAAACCCTATACCCTATACCCTATATAAACCCTAAACCCTAGCATAGCCTCTTAAGCCCGAAACATTTTAGAGCCTCCTCTGTGTACCTTATATATAAGCTCTACATAATCCCTCAGCTGTTTTTAGCACTTGTGCACAACCTCTGAACCCCGAAACCCCCAGAACCTCTCCTATACACCCCATAAGCCCTACATAATCCCTCAGCTGCTTTCGCACATCTTCTTTTTACTTGTGTGCATGTCATTCTGAAACCCCAACCTTAGAAGCCCTATATGTGATCCCTCAGCTGCTTTCGCACATCAGTTTTTACTTGTGCATGTGCATAGGCTTGTGTGCGAAGTTTACTCATGTGTCAGGCTTGCTGAAGCTGTGAGTGGTCGAGTTTCCTTTTGGTGTACTTTCGAGTCTTTTGTGTGATGGTCTGCAGATGAGGAGGATACATGTTTTAGACACGACGGCATTTATATGAGAAAGAGAAAGCATCTCTGGAGCTGGAGACGACAGATAGTATATAGAGGTATACATAAGCTGTTGCAAATTACACAGAGGCCTAGAAGAGGAGCCATGGCACAGAAAACCTCGCGAGTCTACTGCAAAAACGTGTGGTACGACGTGAAGAAGTGGGTGCCTCGGTTACAGACTTATATAGAAGAAACAAAACCCTAAGCCTAAGCCCTATATAGACACTGAAGCACCACACAATCCCGCTGAACTTGATTCGCTTTACCTCAATCAACACTTTTACCTGAAGCTTTTTGGTTTGTTCTTTTCTCATTGATGCCAACCCATCCAAGGCAGTGCGATCATGTCTGGAGCGGCTCGGTGTCAACAACTGCTTGGACATCCAGCTGGTCCGTGACAAGTACTGGGCTGAGGGCCGAAAGCGTTCGGACCATTGTTCCATGTTCCTCAGTTTCGCCGCTGGTCAAGCAGAAAGCATGTGTTTTTTTATTTTCTTGTGATAGGAAACCCTATACAAGCCTGGAACCCTTGAGCTTATGTATAAACCCTTTATTATATATATATACATACATATACATACCGTTTGGAACCATTATATGTATGAAGCCTCACAAGGAAAACTTAGGTCTATGTGTGCATGTATATGTAGGTATATATATATATATAGAAATGTATACATGTATATAAAGGTCTTTCTTTCCGTCGCAGACAAGACATAAAGCCAAGAGTAAATTACTTGCGAGTGTCTTAACCCTAAACCTTAAACCGTGTCTAAACCCTATAAACCCTATATAAACCTTAAAACCTAAACCCGAAACCCTATATAAACCCTAAACCCTAGACCCTTTAATACCAAAAGGAGCACCAGGAGGATGCCGGCTATGCCATCGCCCAGCTCGACCAGGTGTTCCTGCCGGAGATCTGCAGTGGCAAAGTTCTTGCAGCTTCGTGGGCGGAGGACCCCAAGCCGAAGGTGTCGGCAGAAGCTGGGCCTGGAGTGCCGTCAGCTGCCCCTTGGATCAACGTGCCGCTGCCACCACCCCCGGTGTTGCCGTCCTGGCCGGCTTTTCCGCCGCCGCCACCACAGCTGGATGAGGATGTGGAGGATGTGGTGCACTTCGTGCCTTGGTTCCTTCACAGTGAGAATGTTTTCTTGAGTTCTGGTGGACCAACAGTTTTGTCTTTTGTGTGTCCGAACCTCAAGTATATATATATATATACCCTAAACCCTAAACCCTAAACCCTAAAAACCCTAAAAACCCTAAACCCTAAACCCTAAACCCTAAACCCTAAAAACATATGTCAACTTTTTCCGTTTTCTGCGATGGCTTCTCTTTTTAAACCCGACATAAACAAAAAAAACAACAGTTTAATATAACACAAGAAACAACTCAGGATCCCTACGAGATTATCCCCATGGAGGGCGAGGACGAGAGCAAGGAGGTCGAGGGCGAGGCCACCAAGCATCTTACCTGCGAGATCGAGAAACTCCGTGCTGCTGGGCTAGAAGAGGTGCAGGACGACGACGAGGAGCCCAACGATGAGGCCCAGCAGGACGACGAGGCCGAGAAGGACAAGGCCAACGAAGACGGCAGCCAGTCGGAGGAGGAGGAGGAGGGAGAGCAGGAAAGCTCGGAGAAGTCCAAAAAGGAGAAGCACCGGAGACACAGATCGCGAAGGCCCTCTTCGAGCTCGCGAAGCAGGCGAGGCAGCAGGCGGAGCAGACGGAGCAGGCGAAGCAGGAGCAGGCGAAGCAGGCGGCGACGAAGCTCCAGCTCTTCGCGACTGGTCACCTTCCGTGTGAAGCACGGCAAGTACAAGCGGGTACGGTGATCGCCAGCAGCCAAAAAGAGCGAAACCGTTCACCCCGAAATAAGCCCCAAACCCAAGCCTTGAACCTTAAACCCTAAAAGCCCTACCCTAAAACCCTAACACCCTAAACCCTAAACCCTAAACCCTTAATCCTAAACCCTAAACCCTAAACCCTAAAACCCTAAACCCTAAACCCTAAACCCTTAATCCTAAACCCGAAACCCTAAACACTATAAACCTAAACCCTGAATCCCCTAAACCCCCTAAACCCATGCATTACCTGCGATGGTCCCCGTTACATGCGATGGTTCCGATTTACATGTGATGCTCCCCATTACATGTGATTTACATGTGATGCTCCCCATTACATGTGATTTACTTGCGATGGTCCCCATCACATATACATATGTACATATATGCATATATGCATATATACATATATACATATATACATATATACATATATACATATATACATATATACATATATACATATATACATATATATATACATATATACATATATACATATACATATATACATATATACATATATACATATATACATATATACATATATACATATATACATATATACATATATACATATATACATATATACATATATACATATATACATATATACATATATACATATATGCATATATGCATATGTACATATACATATACATATATATATATACATATACATACATACATATACACATGTACTTTCGTTTGGGGGGTTGGGGGTTCTATATATACCGTCTAGGGTGTTTCATGGTTTAAATTTAGTGTTTCGGGTTTAGGGGTTTCCGGTGGTCTAGGAGTCTAGGGCCTAGGTTTCAGGGTTTAGTGATACACATTTTGGATTTTTTTCGTTATTTTTTTTTAAAAAATTTGCATTTTTTTAAAAAAATCATATGAATTTATTATGAATTCTTTATGCGGTTCTTGTGTTGTTTTTATGTTGTTTTATAAACTTCATAAGAAACGCATAAAAAATGCATAGGTTCTATGTGTTTTTTATGAAGTTTTATAAACGACATAAAAACAACATAAAAAACGCATAAAGAATTCATAAGAAATTCATATTAAAACAACAAAAAAATAACAAAAAAAGAAAATAAAATCAAAAATAAACGATTATTTTTTATAAAAAGGTTCGGGCATAGTGGTGTGCACTGACAAATTCTCTGGGCCCCGAGCCCTAAACCAGGCTCGAAAGTTTTACATGTGACTGGTAGTTTTACATGTGAGACCACAAGCTTTTCCTTCGAGCACTCACGATGTTATACTGAAACCCGGAACACTTTATCTAAAAGATTCTGTGGTGTTTGTGCGCTTTTGTAGAGCATGGGTAGTTTTACATGTGAGAGCGCAAGCTTTTCCTTTTGGCACGCAGTTGCTTCATGACCACAGCACTGTGTGCTCCATTTGAAGTGATTGCTTTTGTGTGTTCGTGAAGAACACATGTCGGACGAGGAGCCGGCAATGCCTGTGCCGACGGATGTCGAAGTCGAGGAAGTCCCACCGCAGCCTCGGAAGAAACCAGCCGCCAAAGCAGCGAAGACCGATGTCGATGCCGAGGAAGACCCACAGCCTCAGAAGAAACCAGCCGCCAAAGAGCCAGCAGCGAAGACCACGGCGAAGCCCAAGAAGAATGCGGAGGCAAAGATGAAGGACAAGGTCCAGCCCAAACAGATAGCCAAGGCCAAAGCAAAGAACCTGGTTCTCAAGAAGCCCTCTGCAGCTCCACAAAGCCAGAAGCGAACAGCCGACGACGACAAGGGCAAGGGTACCTCTGAGAAGAGCAAGAACAAGGGTACCTCTGACAAGAGCAAGAGTACCTCTGACAAGAAGAGCAAGGTGATTTCCTCATGGGCCACACCCTTGTTTGCCGAGAAGGAAGATGCCGAGGAAGAGGGCGGCGAAGAGGAGGCGGCAGAGGTCGACGAAGAGATCGATGTGTTCAACACGGACCCCGAGACCCAGACGAAGAAAGACCGAGCGAAAGATTTTAAATTTAAGCAGATGTACCAGAACAACCAGTTGCCCGACTGGCTCGCGGCAAAATACCGCGAAACGCTCTCCATGAAGGTGGGGCGTGTGGAGCAGCAGCGAAAGCTCGTGAACATGTGCCTCGATCGCACAAAGGATCAGAAGCTGGTCGTGAACCTGAACAAGCCGATGTTCAAGGAGATGCAAGAGACCTGGACGAAGATCCAGTCCAAGAAAGCAACAAAGACCTTATCCAAAACACTCTTCTGTGGTAAGTTCAACCTCACAGAGGATGCTTTCCAAGCCGGGCTCCAGGCGGGAGAGTTTTACGAAGTGACCGACGAGAATGGCACGTGCAAGTACGGGTGGGATACGGCCGAGCACAGTGAGACAAAAGCCAAGAAGGCTGCCAGTGTAACCGAGACAGCCGGCAAAATTAGCAAGGAGCAGCAGGGCTTGGTGGCAGCTGTTGCCGACAAGTGGAGCATCGGGTTGTTTCGGAAGGCCAGCAGTTCCCCCAAGGCCACAGCCTCCAGCAGCAGCGAGAAGAAGGTGCCCTTGGCTATCATGGACCAGCAGCCCCAGTCTCTCTCGTCGAAGGATTGGGAGATGGCCAAGCAGCAACTGCACATGGCGCAGAAAGCCTTCGAGCAGATCAAGAACTCGGCACAGAAGCTGCTGACAGGATTGACCAAGGAGGACAAGTTTTACGATCAGGCGAGCCCTTGCTGTTTTAGTTTTATTTACACTTACACGAGACCAGCTTTGCTCTGCTTTTTGCTTTGTTTTGCGAAAACGAGTAAAACCCCACACCCCATCTAATTGTTTGGGGGGGGGGGTTAGGGTTTAGGGTTTAGGGTTGAGGGTTTAGGGTTTAGGGTCTAGGGTTTAGGGTCTAGGGTTGAGGGTTGAGGGTTTAGGGTTTAGGGTTTAGGGTGTAAGGTTTAGGGTTTCGGGTTTAGGTTGAAAATTTAAAGTCCGAACCCGGTATTTGTCTCTGTGTTATCCCACAACCTCGCAACGATTTACGCCCCAACCCCAACAGAACAGCAGCCCCGAGCCACGACGACACACTATAAGGAAGATCATCGTCCAGGCGGCCACGAGCGAGAAGGTCAAGATTGATCACATCCATACATGGCAGGCCTATAAGCATTTGTATTTCTGATATGTGAGAAAGAGACTGCATGTTTTGTATAAGGAACAAAGCACACACACAAATAGGAGCTACCGGATGGCTCAGAGATCACGACCCTGAAGTACGATGAAATGATGCTGGAGTTTGGCACAAAGGCCGAGCAACTTGAAGAGCAATTCGCTGCTGTCAAGGCACAGCACTCTGTCGTCAGTGCTCGCAAAGCCTAGGAGTGGAGCCTGCCCAGATTTTGATGGTGTGTGCGGTTTTTGCATTCGCTTGCACACAGGGATTTTGGATCTCCAGAACTATATAGGCGACTGTGCTAGAGAAAGCCGTGCAAAAGACATGTCTTTGTGCAACCCTAAACCCTAAACCTTAAAAACATAAGCCTATATACCCTATATAAACCCTAAACCCTAAACCTGTAGTTATGTTTCATGTGGGAGCTTTGGAAGTTTGTTTTCTTCAGAATTACATCTTGAGAGTTTCATGTTTTGTGTGATATACAGCAAGAAAACCGTTTCCTTTCGAGATCTTTTCCTTTCGAGATCATTTTGCAACATCTTCTTGTACGATAACATGGATGATGCCGGCCCCGCGAGAAAACGACGAAAAGGTGGCATTCAACAACGACAGAGCCAGGCTGAGGCTTCAAAGACAAGCATCAGTGCTCTGCATGATCTGCTGATGACATACCTCGCACAGGGCCTTATGTCGGCTGCAGTGTGTCATGCAATTGCAACAGCAGCTGTTGCCGATATGGGCCTCTCTCGCGAAGGTACCGTGTTTCCTGATTTGGAGAAGCTGGCCAAGATCAAGCATGGTAAGAACCTGCAAAAGTCGATCGACGGCCTGCTGGCCAAACAAGCCGACCTTCCCACACCCAAAGAGTTCGACATCCCTCTTGCGGGACAGGTGCCAGGCCAGCCCACGTCATTGCTTCTGCTGCCCCACGAAATGATGGCCCATATGTTTTCCAATGGCACAGGGTGGGTTACCTCCGTGCTGCCGGACCCGAGCCGGTTGGCTGCCTTCTGGGATTGTTTCCGGAAGCATCCCTGCATGGAGGGCCACCCTCTGCTTTCCCACCCCCAGTACAGGAACCGGTGCATTCCATTGGCCATGCACGGCGACGAGGTTCCTGTGCTGGGGGTGGGGAAGATATGGTGCCGCTCGGCACTGGCATTTTCCTGGAATTCCCTCATGGCCACTTTTGCAGGACGCTCTGTGCAGGACACCAACCTGTACATATGGGGGTGCTTCGAAAAATTCATTGCTGGTGACGACGAGGATGCTCCTGGCACAATGGCCACGTTCTGGAAGATACTCGCATGGTCTTTTGGGATCATATATGAGGGGGTGTGGCCTACGAAAGATTGGGAGGGCACTCCGAAACTCGACTTGCTTGTCATATGTAGGTTTTGTTTTTCTTTGTGAAGGGTTTTGTGTTTGGGTTTCCGCATGTAAAAGCTATACACACATATATGTATATATATATATATAAGCAGTTTCATTTTTCACTTTTCCTGTATACAAACAGGTATGCCCCGGGCAGTGCAGAAGCAGCAAAAGCAGGGACTTTGCTTTGTGGCGGTTACTTTGGAGCCTTGGTTCAGTTGGCAGGCGACCTCGACTACTATGCCAAATGGCTGCAAGTGCCGAAGTGGAACAACCATGAGAAACCCTGTTGCCTCTGCCGAGCAAGTTTCAAAGGGCCCTTAAGCTGGATGGACAACAGAGAGAGTTCACCGTGGCAAAGCGCCGGCCTCAAGCCCAGCAACTGGAAGACACACTGGGATTCGGCTTGTGCCTTATTCCAATTGCCGGGCTTCAATGGGCTGTGTCTTTCTATGGACTATATGCATTGCATGTTTCTTGGATGGTTGCAGTATGCATATGGCTCCGTGCTCTCTCTCGTTTTCTCGGATTGCTTGGAAGGCACAGAGGCTGAAAGGCTGAAGCATATCGATTCCTTCATCAAGAATTACCAGCGAGAACATGGCACCAGATACAAGTTCAAGCAAAAGCTCCTCAAACTTACGATGATACAGCCCAAGAAAGGTTTCCCAAAGATTCGTGGCAGGGCATCGGATGTGCAAAGCTTGGACACTGCCCTTCTAGCATTTTTTCAGCAGGAGATGGACGAAGAGAACTACCAGCACAAGCAGATTCTGCTCTTTCTCCGTTTGAATTGTCGTTTGTCTGAGAAGTTAGACACGTTTTCGCCAAGGCATGGGTACCTGGCTTTGCCTGAGCAGGAAGCACGGCAGGCTCTGCTCTGCGGCCTGCAGATGGCACAGCTCCACATCAGCTTGCAGCAGCACTACAAAGCTGCAGGGAGGCACTTATTTAACCTCACAAGCAAGACACACTTTGCTTTGCACAGCCTGTCGCTCAGTGGCTGCATTCATCCAGCAATGGTCTGGTGCTTCAAGGGCGAGTCCACCATGCATCGGGTTCAGACCCTTTGGAAGAGTTGCCTGCCTGGTGTCAAGCATTGGCAGGTCGCCAGGAAGGCTGCCCTCAAGGAGCGGCACCTTCTGTGGCTGAGGGGCAAGGTCGGGTGAACTTTTGTCTGTGCGAGGGCCAAAAAAAATTGTTCCTGTTGTTTACATGTGAGGTTTCTATGTGAGAGAGAGCCGGCCCATGCCCCAAAACGGAGAAAGAGCTAGCCGGTTGATGAGAGACGTTTTACTTTGCGAGTTCTGTGCCTCTCATATTTACATATAAAGTGTCAGAGAGACAAAAAAGTACTTCGATGTGATCATGCCTTGTTTTGGACCTGGGGAAAGCGATTATATTGTCTCACAGGAAACTCACAAGCAAATTATAGTCCGTAGTTATATCCTGAGTGTTGTCTCGCAAGTAAACGAATGTTATCACAAGTAAACACACAAACAAATGAGTCCGTAGTTTCTGTCTCGCAAGTAATTCTGTCTCGCAAGTAGTTCTGTCTCGCAAGTAATATAGGGTTTAGGGTTTAGGGTTTAGGTTTATAGGGTTTAGGGTTTATGGCTTAGGGTTTAGGCATGTTCCCACTTTTTACTCACGACGGCGGACGAAGCTTGCCAAGTGCTGCCAGTATAAAGGCTGTGCTTTTGTACATAGAGCACAGGGGCGACTGACAGATCTCTTATTTTGATGCCCGTGGTGGGCAAAACATGCACAAAAAAGCCGCACAGCTGTGCATCACTGCTCGTCGGGCACCCGCTTGAACCAAACCCAGTACCTTTGTTGTCATCCAGCTCTCATGTAAAAAAGAACATATATATATATGTATATTATACATCTCTTTTTATCTTTTTCAAGCTAAGTTGCCAGATGACCAAGCCAGTCAGCGGATCCTCCCACTTTTTCCAGCACCACACCCACTTCCTTTCTGTTACACACGTCTAGACTGCACACAAGTAAACCGCTCTATTGTGTATTCATAGATCTATGACTCACGAAAATTTTTTCCATGTCAGCTCCAAGATTCATCTGCCTGGGTGAACGACTGCGATCTCGCCGACCGCTTTCCATGGTGTGGCTCTGGCGAGACAAGTGAAGCTGTAGCAATGGCAGGCTGGGGCCGATATACACCGCAAGAAAAACTGAACCTCTCACATGCACAACAAGCCTCGCAGAAAACAATACCCACAGAGTCTCACATGTAAAACGATACACTTTCATCGCAAGCAAGTTCGGCTCTTTCTCGTTTGGAACAGCCCTGAGAAAAAGTGGTTTGAGGTTGGAAAAAATCCTCGCAGGTAAGCATTTTGTCATGAAGTTTCATGTTTTCGAAAGTATTTCAGTTTTTTGGCACAAAATTCATTAAGCATTTTGTATGAAGTTTTGACGCGTTTTTTATGAAGTTTTGACGCGTTTTTTATGAAGTTTTGGTGTTCGGAGAAAATTTACGTTTAGTCGGAAATTTAGGTTTTTCGTAACTAAAAAACTCCATTTACGTAAATCCAACCGAAACCTGAATTCACGTATTCTGGAGACTCAGGGTAAACACTTTAAGGGCCTCGGCTTTGACCCAGGAAGGCAGGCCTAGAAGCTTCAGGCATCAAGGACCTTGACTTAGTCCAAGAGCCCTGCGAATCCGCGAAGCGACGTCGACCCAGCATCTGCGAAAGCCAGCGACTATCTAAATCGGAAGCGAGGGCCCAAACAAAGTCTGCGAAAGGTAAACCACATGCCATTCTGCGGCTCAAATAAGCTTAAGGTTGAGGCCCCCACCCCCCCCCCCCCCCCCCACGACCGTGGATGGATGTGTTTGGAGTCAACTAAACCAGTTCAACAAGGTCACGCCGCTGTTAGCGGCCCTGGACCGTTTGCGCGTGGAAATGTGGTTTTAACCCACGCGGCGCAGTGTTCGAGAAAAAAAGGGGTTTTGTCGGCGGAAGTTATTTTCCAGGACTTGGAGTGATTATAAGGTGGTGTGTTGCTCTAAAGCACCACGCCTGCCGGTGTTTTCAGCATTTCGCAATGCTTACTGTGGGGATGCGTTTTTGCGACTTTTGCGCGTTTTTGGGTTTTGTCAATGTTCAGGGTGGAACGAGGTAACTGCAATGTGGTCTTATCTTGAAAAGTGCCACGCCCGCCAGTGTTTTCAGCATTTCGCATGTTTTTTGGGGGGCTGGAGGGTTCAAGGTGCAACGGGCTTGCAGTGGTTCCAGTTTAGGGCTTTGGGGTTGCGCAGAGACGATAAGCACGGAAAGCACGGTTTTGGTCGCGAAAGGCATGGACGCTTGTGACAGGTTTTCTTGTTCCACATCCTTGTGCAGTATGTTGTACAAAGAGGCGAAAACGCTGTAAATACCAGTGTTTTGTGCATGGACGCAATATGAATGACGTTCTTATTCCCACCCCCCCCCCCGCCCCCCCCCCCAACCCTCCCCACCCCAACAAGACAACCGGAACAAGTCACCAAGAAGTGCCAAAACTAACGTTTTACCCAGGGCCGCCAACAACGGCGTGAGCTTAAACAAGGATTCCCGGCCACAATAAACGCTACTCCGGGTTGGAAGCAGACGTTGGGGTAGCCGGGTAGCTACTGTCGCCTTTTACTTGAATGGCTCCCCGCAGCACAGCTCGGGGCTTCTGAGGTCTGAGGCCGACGCGATTTCCAACACAACTTCCTGCAAGATGACACGCCAAGTGACAATGTGGCATCTGCTTGCATTTCTACATGATTCAAGCTGTACCTGTGTAGCCATGGGGTACGAATCTTGCTTCTGAGGAACCAAAAATGTAAGCGAATCTTGCAGCACAGCTCATGTCGGGTGTTTGCTTGACACGACATGAAAGTGGCGAAGAAGCCACCAATGACATGCCAGGACGGCTACGTCTCGCGGGTTTGGCATCACACACCTTGGCAAGCGTAATTAGAGGCCGCGCTTCGCACAGAGTGCCGATGTGCCTACACAGCCGCAAAGAAGAACTCTCAAAAAGCTTCGGATCTTTTTTCCGGCTTTCAGGATATGTCTGACGAGCATGCAGCGCAAGTCGAAACTACCATCTTGGTGCTGGCAAAGTCTGGATGCACATCCTTGGATAGTCGTGGATAACCACCACTTTCATTCATGTGACTACTGCTTTACTACTCTCAACCATTCTTCGCGAAACTTACCTGTGACGACTCCCAAGCCCAGCCACAAGCCACAAAGAACCAAGCCCACATCCTTGGTTGCCACAGCACACGAGAACGACTCAAAGTACAAATGAACAAGTACAAATAAACAACTTATGAATTCAAACATATATACGTATATGCAAAAATACTCCTTACCTTTAAAGGACACAGAAACAGAACGAGCGGCAGCCAAGGGGGCCACCCTGAGACGCAACAAGCTGCCAGGCGCCTCGCTGCGAGGTCCCTGACAGGGACGTTTCTGAGAATTTCTGAAAGCATATTCGCCAAGCATTCGCCCACAGGTGTGCGGTGTGCTGCTCAACAAATCGGTGGGCTGCGCATATGGATTCTGCGCGCGTACCCTGTTCACCATGGATTTTGCTCATGTATTCACGGGTCAGCTCGGCTACAGAGCGGGCTTCTGCACTTATCCCATCGCCTTCGTTTTTGAATACCCTCGAACCGAGTGTCGCACTGGTCTCCCTCGAATGTCTAACATGCTGCGCAGTATCTCTTGACGGGATGATCTTCGTTGAAGCGCGTTTTCACGGCTCTTTAGAGCCGAGTGTTGGGTGGATCTGTGGACGCGGTTGAGACAATAGCCGGGCAAAAGAAATAGGCCGGGGAGTGTTCTGAACATCTTGGGCCTAGGGCATATGAGTCCAGAAAGGATTTTACAGACACAGGGACACAGGAACGATGGGCCCGACAACCCCATCAAAGCGCAAGCCCATGTACAGCCCCACAATTGTTTGAGGACAGGATCGGACAGGGGTTTGACACTGTGACAAGCAAAGCTATGCAGCGGCGCGTGTTCCAACAAGCAAACACTTTGGCTGCGTTCCAACAAGCAAGAGGACAGTTCAGAGTTCCTCAAGGGTAGCGATTCAGCTGCGCTAGATGAACAGTCTAGTGGTGAGTCCTGGTGAAGTATTGTGGCGTGCTGCTGGCGAAGGCAATTAGGTCGCCGTTGCCTCCAATCCAATGGCGGGGATTTCCGGGTGACGAAAGTACGTCACCTTTTCCGTCGTCAAAGTGCGGGCTCCAAGTTTGCGCAGTGCGTGGAAGTCTTGATTATTTACGCATTTCTTCAAAGCCAGTTGAAACGGCAGTTATTTCACCCAAAGGACGTGCAGTAGTGCGTGCGAAGTTTTGCTCGCGGGCCGGGCTCTAAGAAGATCCTATAGAGTCAGGCAGAGAAGAAAAAAACAAGATGCAACAACTCACACTGCATCTACGATTCTGGGCAGTCGGCCAGAAGGAAATACGAGACAAACTGAGGAACCAAACTTCTGTTGGCAACAAGGCATGCAGAGTCGACATGTGTTGGGGCCGCCAAAGCCAGGGCACAGCAATGACATGTTGCTCGTGCCTGCTGCGTAACAGGCTCGGTAGTGGCAAGCAGACGTCCATCGAGGTCTGCCAAATTCCTCGCATTGATACCGCAAGCAACTGCAGCTTGCAACAGCTGTTAGAACAATTCTCGGACACCCTCGCTCAATGTCCTTCAACTTGAATTGTAAGCCTCTTGTGCTGACTCACTCCTATTGGTGTGTTGTCTTACGCTATCTTGTGCTACCGATTGGGCACCGTGCTGCCAAACTGCAGGGTCTGATGCTGGATGGACCCAAACAGCAGAAGCTTTTGATCAAGCTTTGTTTCAATGATGCACTTGTCGTGGACTCCCTGCCGTGGTTCATGAGTGAGGCGCGCAAAAACTTGAAGGTGGGAGTTCTGAATCCTCAGCGCGGCAATGGTTCAAACTCACTGGTTGCGCCAGCAAAGCCACAGAGTGCCTAAAAGGACAATACCCAGAAATTTAAGTGCCAAAAGCAGCAGAAGGTCTCGAAAGTAGTCGTGGCACTGTGAGGCAGTGATGACCTCGCTCTACCACATTGTCCCAACAGGGCGCCCTGTGGACTGAGCAGCTTGCGGCGGCCCATAGAGACCATGTCAGTGTCTGCTATCCGGAGCACAACCCCCCCAGCAGAATCGATGACGTCCGAGATCTGACCTTGTTGTGGCTTCGATCGTATGAGAAGGATGCACTCGCATCCATCTGGGACCACCAGGTCGGGAGTAAAGTACGCGTCTTCCTCAGATGCGATACGCTGTTGCAGAGCCGGACAAGCTGAAGCTATTGCAAACCCAGGACCTTCCTCGAAGAAAACTCACTACCTGTTCAACATCTAATATGCATTCCTTGCCGTGGTCCGTGGCTGCGTTCGGGCTCTTTGCACAGCAGTTCTCTTCAGCATCGCCGGACTTGAACGGCAGACCGTGGCATGCTGGCACTGCGCTCCAGCAGAGTATGCCCAAGTATGCCTTGGTGCAGCCAAGCATCCAGCGTCATCACAGAAGCCGCGCTCGGAATGGCTGGTGCAAGCATCCGGCGCTCTTCCGGTTCGCTCCCTGCAGCTAGTTTTAGCAGAATAACGGGCATGTGCAGTTGCTAACGGCAACCCATCCGTTTGCCCGGCCTTTTCGGAAGAGGTGCTGCAGCCCCACCAAGATTGCAATCGTTGACAAGCATGCAAGAAGGATAAGCGCAGTCATGCTCGCCTGAGCGCATGCCACCAAACCGAGCCAGCCCCAACAAGTATCCGATGTTTGCTTGCTGTGCCAAACGAGGGTTGAGGAAAAAACTAAGTCAGGCGGTGAAGGTTGCTGAAGAAGTTTTGGAAGGTTTTGTCTTCTGTCTCCGCGTTCCGAAGACTATGATGGAGGAGTTTGGCCATCTGAGCACCTTTGCAATCTCGAATCCGTCCTCCGTGTGCAAATGCACATCTCACCACCCTCTGAAAGGAACTTACCGCGCCTGCAGACGGAATGCGGATTCAACATGACTGCTCGAGAACATCTGCAGGCTTCAATGCAGGCCAAAACTCGGCTAAAACCCGAAAAGCAAGGGGCCAGGATGGGCCAGGTTTCGAGGCAAGCAGCGATTGAGGTGTTGTTGGCGAATGCTTGTCTCTTTGCCAGTGTGAAGAGTAAGGACAACTCCTCGTGGACATCGTAAAGGGTCTCCTTGGGCATCGGTGGCTCCTGACCAATCTCAAACATTTCCATGAAGCACACGTATCTTCCCGGGCTGCTGCTATGAAAGTGGGGTCGGTGTCCTACTTGGTGCTTGTGTCCACGGCTAAACCACACTTGCACCAAGCAAACGGTGCGAAAGCAGAGTTGTTCAGGCATCATACCGCTGCCTTGTGACACCTCCTTTGGTGTTACAGACTTTTCACAGTATGTCACCGCGCTTTATCTTCAGGCCTAGTCCAGCATTCTCGGCTTGGCGGGGTGCCCCGCATCCTCGTGTCTTGTAATTTTGGACCATCGGCAAGAGCTCGCTTTTGCTCGGGGGAAGATTTTCTGCTTCAACCAAGTCGGCCTTCTTATATAAATCCTGGCCTTGAAGCCTCGCGAGCAATTCCGGGTCTCCCATTTCTGCAAACTTGTTCTTCGAAAGCTTTGAAGAGCAAGAAGAGAAACAGAGAGACTCGGAAATACTATTCTGTTCCGACTCTTGTGGCTTCTGTTCCGGCCCTTCCAGAAAAGAAAAAAGGAGGACAAACACGTTTCTGCGCACGGAATCGACAAGATGAAGAAACGGAGAGAGAGGGAGAGAGAGAGCGTGAGAGAGTCAAAACAAAAAAGAGAGCTGGGAAGAAAAACTCAACATGGGTCCTGCATTGGGACGGTCTACTCGGGCGAAGTTCCCCTCGACAGCCCTGCCCCTCCCTTCTTCTTCTATACAGCGAACAGGAACCCTACCATCATTTGTTTTAATTTTCTTTCAATTTAACAAAAGCTTTGTATTGTTTCCCCCCACCCCTCCAGGTGGCGAAGCCTCTGGCTCTCTCTGCCTCTCTCGCTCTCTTTCTTTCTCTCTTTCTTTCTTTCTTTCTTTCGCTCTTTCTTTCTTTGCTGGGGCAGGGGTCAAGTCCCGGGCGAGTTCGCCCGCCCCTGTTTTCGGGAGATTCAGTTGGTTACAGAGGTATACTCTCCCTCTCTCTCTGCCTGTCTCCCTTCTTGTTCCACAGCACTCCATACAATGAAGATCACGTGTCCTAAGAGGAGAAGAAGCGAAGATAATGTAGAGGAGAAATTATGAGAAGAAACTCCTGTCTGGCGTTAGACTTTTGATCAGCTTTTTCAGAGTTACTCGTCGCATTGCGATTGGTAACTTGAGCTGATCAACATGAACAACCTCCCCAGTCACATTGTCCGTCAACTAATGTCGTATCCTGATTAGTCTGGACCCCCTCAATAATGAAAAGTTTTCCAAAAACTATTCAGGAGACAAAAAATCGATTGCCCCCCCCACAATAAAGTAAAGTTTTTCGGGCATGGGTTTCGGAAGAGAGAAAAAAAGAGAACAAGATGATGAAAGAAAAGAGCAAAAGCAGAGCAGCCTCTGAGCTTACCTGAGCTTAATTATGTAAGAGGAGAGGGAAAGGAAGAGGAGAGGAAGAGGAGAGGGAAGAGGAGCGAAGAGGAAATGAAGAGGAGCCGGTGGGGGGGGGCCCGGGGCCGAAAATTAGTTTGGGGGGGTCCCTTTTTTTGACACTATTACGGGGGTGGATTTAGTTTGGGGGGGGGGGGGGCCCTCACACTAATCAGGATACCACATTAAACTCTTTTCATCTCTTTTCCATCGGGGTCTATACAGGCACAAACCAGCACACATGGACACATATGGACACTAGTCACTAGTCAGTGTTCCACTTTGGCGGCTTATACTAGCCCCCGTGACCTCTACCGATGCAGTGGGATCAGTGGGCCTCGGAGATGCCGACTGCCATGGAGACTTCGCTCTGCTGCTGGAGGAGCGTCTTGCTGTATATCGCGGTGCACATGCCATCTGCATGGCTTGGAAAATGTACAGTCGAGCAAACATCTGGTCCCTGCACGTTGACCGATGTAGCCACGGTTTCTATGATCTGGATGCACAGCACCGAATACTGGACGACTCCATGTGTACGCCTTCTCATCCGAGAAGGCTTCGTGGATTTTGATCCCGGGGAAGATGTGGTAAGGTCAAAGAGAAATGCGCCGTTCAGCGTCCTCAAGCCTCAAATGGCACAATCGAATGTGAAGCCATCTACTAAGATTACTAAAACCCCACAAGTCAGCCAAGCAACGTCGTGGACCGGCAGCTGCACAGGACAACGGCGGCTTTGGGTAAAATGGCTTGCGAGCATGTGCGGGCATGCACGCTTTAAGGAGGCCAAGCCTCGTTATCCCGAGCTCGACATCACGTGACTTGACTGAAGCTGGGGAGCCAACCACAGAGGAAGTTCACAGGGAGGTGCCTGCAACAGACATGACACACGCACACACAGAACTAACCGGGAGAGCAGTTTTTCTTGTGTGTGCCGACGCGCATTTGGATTCTCCGTGTTCCCCCTGCTTGCGCTGCGAGCTTTCAGTGCTCCCCCTGCTTGCATAGAGTGCGCGCGTGTGTATTTCTGCCAACAAAGCCACAATTGCGTGCGTATTTCTGCGAAAAGCAACAGTTGCTACCGCATGAAGTATGCTTAAAGAAAAGATGTTTTTCGCCAGATAGGGACATGCAACGTTTGTCGCAGTCGTGGCACAAGTTCAAGCGGTTTCATTGCTGCTGCTGTCTGCTGTTGCTGCTGATTGCTACTACGTTGATTTGTTGCGGTTACCAGCAGTTCTGCCTGTCGTTATGAAGCATCTCAAGTCAAAGAAGCAAGCAACTGCTACGGTTGACAAACTTCTCGCCTTCTCAGTTAAAATTGATAACTTAGAACATGCTGAATATTAGTGCGGTACATGTATGCGGGAATTCCAAAGGCCGTGGGCCACACTGTGATTTCAACTATAGAGTTCAGCAGTTTCACCAGCGATCTACGTTCGTAACATTTTGCAACTAATTGCACAGACTCGTTCCCAGGATTTTGAAGGTGGGAAACTTGAACTGGGCTCTTAAATTGGGCACGCACAGTGCTTATTCTCGAGTCTTCATGACCTAGCCGCAGTACCAACAAACTCCCCCCCTGAAGACTAAAAAAGAAGGGCAAGTTCACAAACACGCCGAGCTTTGCATGAACATCCCACCATGCCTTCTCGGACGGCATCAGGGTGGTGACCTCTGCCAGCGAAGAACACATAACACGCAAGCAACGCAGCTTCAGATTCAAATGACCAGGTCCACCATCAAACCAGCCGGCCAACGCCGGGTGTGCAGTCTGCTGTTGACTACATCAAACAGTGTGTTGCATAAGTACGCATCATGAGCTTGAGCCCTTTGAGCACAATCACCTTTGAAGCAAGATTGAAGCTTTTCCTGGGCCGATCCTCACCATAACCCGAAGTGAGGGAAGTACTTTGAACCTGCACTGAGGTCACTGAGGGCTGTTCAGGTCCCGGCCTCGCTGGCCAGCACGAACGTTCGCGGTCTCTCCTCAAAAATGCAACTTATGTAGGTTCCGACATATGCCGAGTATATGCCCGAAATAGAGTCCACAGTATGTGCCTGTTTCGGTGGGGCCGATGGTGCAAGCTCCACTGGCTCTGCAGGTGCCCTTAGGCATGCCCAAAAGTAACAGAATGCTAGAGAGGCGCAATCAGATCTCACCGATGTGTTCTGTAAACTTGCCGGCAGCGGTTTTTGTTACAGGAGAACCTTGCCGGATTGGGAGTGGGAGGGAAGTCTTAGGGCTACAGTAGGCACCGGCGTAGATTCACGCATTCAGTCTGCGTGAGCGCACGAGAGCGGCGCCACGATGTTATTGAGAATCGGCTGTCCCTTGTTGAGATGAAACAAAAACACCAGGTTTCTGAAATTCTCTTAAGCGGATAGGCCTCTAAGGCTGAATTCGTGACTTACAGTGATCCTCGAAGGAACGATGGGCTGGCGGGGGGGCATAACATGGCACAGCCATGCACAGCCCCTAAGTCCCGACCTGTTTGTTTTGCCTGACAGCCCCAACCCTGACTTTTCGACCTTCAGCTTGGGGCCCCACCTAACCCGGGGACCCTAAAGCATCCTAAAGCTCAAGCCTCTTGTCCCAGCAGGCATGACAAAAACTCTTTAGTTTCCGGGGATCTCCGTGTACACTCTAGGACGAGGTTCTTTGCGGTTCCGAGCGATCCTTCAAGGCACAATCCGCCTCATCAGGCATTTGCAGTGGCATTTGCAAATCGGCCTGGGGCTCTTCGGCCCTTGAAAGAAAACACCGCGCGCTCTGCGGCTTCTACCCAAAACGGTGGTGAGCACATCGCCTTTGGCTCCATGCCGGACATGTGGTGTCAATGGACTTGGGCACCGGCACAGGGGCTGCCTCAGCATGAAGGGCTGGCAGAGGCGCCTGACATGTCAAACACCTGTGACGTGTGGCCGATTCTTGCAGTCCCTCCTTGTCAGCCGTTCTACCTGCCTCCGCTTTTTGCCGCTCCACGCTCTGTTGCAGTGTCTCCTTCGCCTGCCTTGGGCACTGCAGCTAAAAGAGCGCTCTCTCACTTCAGACCTCCTAGTGCACCATGTCTGTCGACTCCACTGTTGAAGTTGCCTAAGGCCCTGGCAGAATCGAGTCAGCATTTGACAGAAGGCGTTTCTTGTCGGCTTGATTCTGAGCCTCCACCTCTCCAGAAGCGCACGTACTCTGAATCGAGCTGAACTACCTACTCGAACTTGCGGAAGCAGGAAAGGCAAACGAAAGGCAGGCAGCACTTGTGCAAGATTGGTCTTATGCCGTGGTCAGTCGAAACTCCGACGGAGCTTCTTGCATCACCGAAGCAACGAGGGGTCATATAAGATCATCGCTGTTCAACCCTGATTGTTTAGCGTGTCAAATCAAGTGCCGGTAGTGCTGCCCATCGTTCCCACTACCTCGCGTTCTGTGCAGCAAGACTCCTCGCAACACCCAGCCGGAAACAAAAGACAGAATGCTCATACAGCCAGCTGCGACCACCAACCTCATGGCCGCATCAATCGAAATAGTCTCGGGTCTGGGAGCAGTCTCTGAGAGCTCGGCGTCCTCATATGCCAGCGAAGTTGGCGTCTGGTGTCGTGCAGCACGAGGGGCGCGGGAGCCAGCTAGCTTGGCTCTCGGTGCAGCTTCCTGGACCGGACGTCCCTGCCTGATGTACTTGGCCACATCTTCAGCAAATAGAACCTTCGCAACAGCCCCCCTCATGACCTCGATGGCATTGAAGTGCTGCTTGCTGGCGGTGGAAACACCATCTTCGACCAAAATGACGTCATATTGCAAGCTGAACGCATGAAATGCTGTGGAGATGATGCAGTCATCCGTCCAGGCACCAACTTGGACCACAGTGTCAACGCCCAGCTTCTGCAGCTCTACATGCAGGGATCCTTTGCCCAAGGCTAGCAGGTGAGGCGATTACCAAATTTCAAGTTCAACCAAGCGGGGTAGGAACTACTGTACTTTGACTATCTCGAGGTTTCTCGATGTTTCGTGCCTTGGTTGCTGGGTGAGGCCCATTTCATGGGCCGCTCATCGAACATGTCGAGTGAATAGCTCTTGTGCATGACTCGACGCCACTCCTCCGGAGTCTGAGGCGCCACTGCGGCCAGCACATCCTGAAAATTACTGCACTAGCTGCGAAGGATCATGTAGGAGGTGGGGCACTCCAAAGATCGGGGCTGGCCACTGCCAGGATGATGTGGGGCAGGAAAACATCTGGGGAGAGGAGCGGCGTGCAAAACATGACAGCTCAAAAGCAGCTCAAACACTGAAGATGGCGGTGATGAACAGCGATGATCAGCGATGACGACAGCCGTGCGCAAACCATCGAATCAGTTCTTGTTAAAGATTACATACAGGCCTTGGCGTGCAAGCGCTACAACTGCAAACAGAATAAACCAGGTCTTGATGCTTTGAATCAAGAATCGCCACCATTCCGCTTGTGGTTGTACAGAGCATTGGAGCTTGTATTCCACCTCAGACTACACAACATCACGAAGTCCCATTGCTGTCTGGGATGCATACCACCTGGGAAACGTGTAGGGCTATACAGACCAAGGTGCCCAATGGGACCGTAGAAACGATCCATCGCATTGAAGTATCCATCATCTGGACCCCAGCGCCACCAAGTGCTCCAAAAGATCGGCAGCCCAGCCTCTGAAAATGGATGCATTCGATCTCGCAAAACGGGATTTTGCTTTGTTTCTTTACTTTGAGAAGCGCGCCTCGCGAAAGGCCTGCAGGAGCAACTTCACGGGCGGGATGATTCCATATACATAGTCCGCATACTCTACCTGCCCAGTTCTGATCACCTACTGCATCCAACCCGCAAAAACTACAGGATTTTGGCAGTCTGGAAGTGTCTGGAACGACAACGTTGCGGCGAGATTCGGCTAGACTGTTCTACGTTGCAGGCAGCATCCGGCCTGCAAGTCGTCAATGAGTAGCGCAGGGGTGCGCTTTCGATCGGTCAGGTCATAGGCGCACCAAAAGTCGGTGAGCAGCGGAAACTGCAGTGGATTTGATTGCATGACAGCAGTCATCCCTTGCACCTTAGCATCATGTTACAGTTGGCCATCGGGGCTTCCGTAAATCTTTGCGTGTGGTATGCTGGCTTGCGGATCCACTGCTTGGCCTGCTGCAGTATTTGCGTTGGCTTCCGCAGTCTTGTCGAACTTCATCTTTCCATGCTCAGCAATCGATGGCAGAGGTTGCTCGCCGGGCGAGAGCTTGCCAGGAACATCAGCTGCAAGGGAAAGGAAGCAAAGAGAAAGCAAGGAAACCATGTGCCGGCAGCTTTAGCTCGAGCGGGGTGCCTGGGTTGAAGCCAAAATGCTGCTGTGCCGTGCAGTGCTTAGGTCGCTGGGAGCTCTCCCTTGAATGCTACGTCTGCTTTGCCCGTGCGAGGCCTCCCCCGATTTTGCGACGGACTCCAAGGTCGATGCCTTGCACAACACGTACAACAAGGCACAACAGGCTTAAACATCGACAACATCACTGCGCAACACGTTGATTGACTAACCATGGAAAACATGCTGCGGTGGTTAACCGTCAATCCAAGATGTGCTGTGAAGCGCCTTCGAAGGTTTCCCAAAGTCCAATTGCGCCCATCAAATCCGGAGGTTTTAGGATTTCGGCTTCGGGTTTCAAACCTCCGCGGATTCACGTTTCGGACCGGACGCTATTTTTTAACATCTTGTTGCGCCGCTGCACTTGCATGGTTAGAAGGTTTGCTATAACGCTGCCATCCGGAATCCTTAATTGTCAATGGCTTTCAACATCGAGCTTACGACCAGACCTTCATTCCTAATTCCGCAACAAATTCTTTACTTAACAGGCCAGCTGAAGCAATAAAGCTCTTGGAACGCTCTTAGAGATTGGACTTCGGGAGGGATTGGGCGGAGTGCCGAAGTCGGATGTCGACATTCGCCAACTTGCCGCTGCATGGACATCGACCACGTCGACCGCCTTCTTCGATTCTTTTGCTTCTGCCTGCTGCGCCGCCTTCGTCGACTCTTTTGCTTGCGCCTGCTGTGCAGGTAGCTTCTCTGCCTCGCAAACCAGCACACACTTGAAGGCAGCTCAGTGGAAAGCATAAATTGGCATAAATGCTTCCTGACGCACTGCTTCAAGAAACTGCTCCGCCTTGGAAGTCTGTTTCGACGTCTTGGTCTTGGTGGCTGATTTCAGAACTTTCTCTATTCCCCCCTCCTGGCAACGACTCGGAATGAATCAGCAAACGCTTCATGCCTGGTCGGACGCCCCACTTCCCAGCCTTTTTGGAGGGTTTGTCAGGCTTGTTTATCTTGGCCTTCCGAGCACGCAATCATTGCAGCGCAAGCGTAGCCACAAACATCTGCAAATTCAGTCGTGCCGGTCCTTGGTTGAATTCGTGTGTGGCCCACCACCAGCGTCTTTCTTGACCTTTACTGCGGATGCATTGGTGCTGCTTTCCTTTCATTAACTTTCATTGCAATCGGATGACATGATGGGAAAGTTGTGAATGGTTCTTCGCGTCAAAGGAGCGCACAAGCTATTGACCTGAAACGCTGCATCCTTCTTGATCTCAAAAAAAAACCGCTGCGGCCACCGAGGCCAACATGTATTGCGGTCTTGAGGCATGCAAAAATAAGCGAATGCAGGCTGGAATGCCCTGAGCTATTTTGGAAGGTTCTGCAAAACTTTCCCTCCCGCCAAGTGCACAGTAGTTTCAATTTGTGGCGCGTATCTGTGCCCGATACTCGTAACATGCCAAACAGCGACACTTCGTCATGGGCATCCTCACCCTCACCTTTTCCATGCCCAGCAAACTCAACACAACACATCCAGATACTCGAGTCGCCTTCGTTCTTCGGATATGTCGGATGTCTCAATGTATCACATGATATCGCATGCTTGACCCGCCTCCAACCTGACCACCTTTGCAGCTTACGGATGGTAAATCCGCACGAAAGCTGCGGACACCCTCCACGTGACAGGTTCGTACTTCAAGCGGCGGCCATGAGGATTGTTCCATTTCTGTATGGCTCCAGATACTCAGGTCGTTCAACAGGTCTGCATTCATGCCATTTCATGCCTCGACACACCTCACGCAAGAGCCCTTGCCACAAACAAAATGAAATGTCCTGCAGTGTGCACACTCGTGCAAATTTTCGTGCGTATTCGTTTGCTCAACTAACGGCTGCGGCTGGACAAGCTCCAGACCTTCGCAAGGGAGGCCAATTGCTTTCCAGCTTTGCCGGCCTGATTTGCACAACGCATGTGGTTCTTCCACAAAAAAAGTCGTTGCCCTCTTCGTGCCTTTTCTTCCTTGTCCCGCAACCACTGCTTCAAAATCTCCACATCTTTTTCGATATCCTGTCAATGCAAGCGCGTGACTATGCGTTGCTACGAGCATCAGACGCAAGCACATTGACAGGAACAGAGGCACTCAAAGAAACGCGCAAACCGAACACACACACACACACATACACATACACATACACATACACATACACATACAAACACACACACACACACACACTCTCACACAAACAGACACAGACACAGACACATACAAACACACACACACACACACACTCTCACACACACAGACACAGACACAGACACAGAGACACACACACACACACACAGACACACAGACACACACACACAAACACACACACACACACACCACACAACACACCCACACACACACACACACGCAGAGACACAAACAGCACACACAAACACACGCACACACGCACAACACACACACCCAGCACACAGAACACAGACACACACAGACAGACACAGACCCACACACACAAACACACGCACAGACACACCACACACACACACACACACACACACCACACACCCACACACCCACGCACACACACACACACACAGACACACACACAGACACACGCGCGCACACACACACACACTCACACATAGACACAAACACAACGCGAACAAGCTCGCACGCACGCACGCACGCACGACACACACACACACACACTCACACACACTCACTCACAAGCGAAAATGCATGCGCACACAATCAGACCGCCTTTTTGCGGTCTGCGTTGTTTTCCTGCGTCGCGGGCCCGGCTGGTCCAAAGCTCGCCCAAGAAACCGAAACACCCAGCTCCTGTGTCAGCTGTTGCTGTTTGTCGACCTCAATATGGATGCCGGCAACAACAACAATAACAATTGCAAATGCTGGAACGTGTTGATCTTGAGTCCGGCGCAAGCATTTCTCGCAAATTTTCAATTTCATCCACCTAACGGAACTTTGCGTTTGCACGTGCGTGCTTCACACGGTACGCTGCATCATCGCACACTGCACCACCAAAGTAACTTTGCCAAACACATCTGTTAACAAAAAACCCACATGTAAGTAAAATTCCCCAAACAACATATCTGGCCTGTGTTTTGGCGGCCGTTTGCTGAGCATCGTTACGCCTGCACTGCGGTTTTGCGTCGTCGAAACGATCTGACATGTTTCTTCAAATAAACGAGGCCTTGAGGCGTTTGCAGCCTTCGCAGTTTTTGCCTGTGTGTCCGCCCATCTACGGCATTCCAAGAAGCAATGCTTGTCGTGCCTCACCATGCCTCACCTCAGCTTCTGGTACGAGAGTGCCTGGCCAGCACATGACCCGACACGTAACACGGTAATTATAACATTGCCAGGCTATGCCGCGTTCACAGCTCACCCGTGCAGAGCTCCTCGTTGCTTGTTGATTGCATGTCTCAGTTTGCGCCTCGCATTGGCAACACACGAGCATCATAAACCCTGGATGCGCACCCACCTCAAGTGTGATGTGTTGCTTGAAGACGTCTGGTTAGAGCAACTGGATGACGACGCAGACCTTCGGCGCCAGCATGCCAACCAGCACACTCTCCACCGGCATCATTCCGGCGTCAATGATTCACTTATATTCACTTTATCGCCTTGTGTGAGGCATGGCTACAACTGCTGTGGGCGCTTTGAAGACCACGGCATGGCAACAATCGCTACCGTCAGGGAAAAAAACTTCTCACGCACTACTCAAACACTCACTCCATGCTTGTGGAGCTACCACCGGCTTTCCAGCACGGCTTGGAACCTCCGGCACAGTCGTCGTGGATTCAACCATGCGTGCAATGATGGCAAAAGGTGGCAACAAACAGCACACGTGCATTGCAAGGTACGCTGTCAGCGCTGGCCACCTGGCTGGCGTCCTCCCCTTTGCTTCCATGCTTTACGGCAGCTTTACGGCTACCCCAGTACATACGACGAACGGGGGATAGTGTGCATGAGGTCCGGCAAAGCGAAGGAGGGGAGCAGGGTAATCCCTTTATGCCTTGCTTGTTTGCCCTGGGGAAACGCAAGGCGCTGCAGCAAGCGCGCGGCCAGCTCTACCCTTCCGATGCGCTGTATGCTTAATTCTTTGACGACATTTACGTCACAGGGGACCTTGACAAGGGACCGGGGACGAACCGCGGACCATTTTTTTTTCTCCCTCGCACCCTTTTACGAGTATCCGAACGCGGTCCCAGTGCGACAGACCACCGAGCCCCACCGAACCCGCAGCCGTCCTAACCACCAAACCGAGCTCACGCCAGGCGAGAGGCGAGCGGCGGCGATGCAGCAGAGTCGAGGACGTCGCTCAGGAGAGGCGTCTCTTCGTCAAGATTAGCGGTGCTGGAGATGGGCAGGGACAGCAGGCTGGCAGCGAACGAACGGGCAGCCGCGACGGACAAGAACCCAGACCAGCACTTTGCACTTTGCACTTTGCCCGTTCGAGTCACGAAGACTACGGTCCTTACAGGACAAGGGACAACGGTGGGTGTCACGAGCTAATTAATTTGCGAGGCCGTGTCAAACTGTACATGTCTTGTTGACGGCCATCTTGGCAGATGAGCTACATCAGACCACGAACTACATCCAGGGAACTGCGACACAACAAACTTGTTCAACTCATCATCCCATCGCTTGGGGGGGCGACCAGGTCGTCGTCTCGGCACACTATTGAAATTGTGCTGGGATGAAGGACTCCAGGTTGCAGCGCACAGTGGCCAAGCATTTTTCGCTGTCAGGTTCATTACGAACCTGTGCTGATTAGCACGATGAACACTGGACCACGAAGGCACAGGATGTTGCCTGAGAGCAGACGATACCCGGGCATTCATGCGTCGCATCGTCTCTTCCCAAGTTGCATCTGCGTCACGACTCCAGCCAACAATGCTGCGAAACACCAGCGTCCGACAAAAACGGCAACACATGCAGCGCGTTGCGCCGCGCGCCCGCGCGAGCAAC